CTACTGGAAATAAGTAGGAATGAGTTTATGTCTTACTATCGAAAATTTCATGTTTTACTTAGTACCAAATACCAAAGGGCGCGCGTTTTGAGTCTTTTTAGTCTTTACGTTGGAATAGTTAAGATTCCAGATTCCAAAAAAGAATGCAATAAAGTCCGGCTTGCTCTCAGTCTGTCCGTTGAATATTTGATTCCCGTTATTACTACAAAAGTAATAAAAATGCCAGATTTACCAGTTTAGCACATCTATAATAACGGGAATCACCCATTTTAAAAATCAAAAACACATATACCGTGCTATTTTTTCGGAAAAGTAGAACCTGAAATGGGGTGAAACTGGCTGGCTGGCGCCCGTTAGAAAAAAATGGATCATTTGTAGGGCTTGAGTAGKTGGAATCGACCCATTCGACTCTTGTGTACTGTCTTCTGTCTTCTGTCCTTTACTCTCTTAGAATTGGCGATTCGTATTCGTAGAATGCAAGCCGGCCTGTTCATATGTGCCCGTTGTGAGAACTCGATCTGGGAGATTTTCCACTYTCAAGTTTTCGATGAATTTGTTCTGTAYCGTACTAAAGTTCCTACCGTACMATGTTCAGTTGTGTACGAAAACAGGAGGAGAGCGAAAATARGGGTATTTYGGTTTGCAGCATGATATAATTGGCTCGAATGCGTCACACATACAAGGCCTGATATGAAGAAATAMAACTCCGAGAGCAATTCGTCAACAAATGAGGGAAGGGGAGCACCAGAAGKAGGATTGCGGTATCTCTTTCGACACTTCTGAMGGGGACGCATGGTATCGGACCATAGACAAGACCAGAATGGCGGGAATGAGGAAGCCCCRTCGACGTGGTGCCTACGGCATTGGATTGTCTACATGGCTRCCATTGTTGATCCTGGCCTTGTCGCTCAGCTCGATTGTTTTTGTCGCCCGATACACGGCGGAGATTATGGTGGAGACAATCGAGACAKTGGCGATCGAAGGTATAGATGGATCTCGCGGTTTGTCGTCACGAGCAACAATATCCAAAGTAGGAAAGACGATTATCGAACAGAAGCAATCACGTGGCATTGGTACCATTRATGCCAGGGCTTTTCTAAATATTAGGAGTGGAACGAAGTTGGAACATATTGCGGCAACAGAAAWAAATTTGGAACACAAGCAACACTACCGATACAAATTAGGTCTGATAAGAATACTGGGAAATGCGATACCGCCAAAAGGAGATGAACACCAGACCTTGCAGAACCTKGAGTTTTTGTTGGCAAATGAACCCRCATTCGAGTCCACCGTTGACAAGCACTGGATTCTAAACAGAATCGCCAGCGATGACTTTCTGCGTCGAATATCATGGCTACTGAATCGATACAACCAAACCTTCTCCGTTTTGCCCTTTCGCATCGAAGAATACGAATCAAAGCCATATCGATACGTCAAAGCCAGTAAAACCATAGCACTCGGCATAAACAACAAAAACAATCAACATCATTTGGATTTGATTCGAAACCGATCCTTTTGGGAAACCAAGGAAAACCACGAGGGGACGAGAGGGGAGACGGACCAAGAGAGGAACAAATATGTCGACGAGTTGTACGTTGACAAAAAGCGTTACGTCACGAACCAAAACAATGCACGAAATTTTGCCATTGAGTGGTACAGTTCGAAAAATGCCACGGTGGTTGTCGATTACGTCCTGCCCTGGGACGGGGACTGCTTCCTGAGCGAAAAGGCACACGAGGCGCTGCACAACGACCTCGAGAAACACAACGACGAGCAGCAACAGCGGATTCGAGCAGCGAGAGCCCTCRTCCGGAGCGAAGTTCGAGCAGATGATGACGATGTCTCTTTGATGAACATCGGAGACGATTTCATCGACAGCGAGATCAGAAAGTTCGTAAACCCTGATAGCATACACAGTGGCAAATTGAACGCTCCAATCAACTATTTTTATGCTCCCGTTTCGGAGCAACAASARATCGGAGGCAACCACCAGGAAGGAGAGACCGAATCYGTTTCCARCATACACTTTAAACCCATTCAGACGAAGGGTCAACTACCACAGATTGTGCTTCATCGAAACGCAAAAAAACGATTCGATCCCAACGGTACGAGCGAGGTCTCAGTGCTACAGAAGTTACAAATTGAGGGACCCTGGAACGGAAACATTAAAGACTACATCATCCCTCCCTATGACTACAACTATTATCCACATCTTTCTGAGGAACGTGGAGCAAGCGGATTCCTACCATACCCCGAACTCGGCCATGGGTCTGGTGCTGTAGCTACACCGGCTGTGGGCTGGGCGACTCGATCGGTATCTGGGAAATCCAATCTAGGTGCGAAGAACGATGCCTCTCTAAAATATGGAATGGTCGCGTTTTACCAGGAGTTGGATGCGCTGGCGGTGAGCAAAATCCACTATGCTAGCGATGACAAACAACAAGAGGCAGMCAATGCTTCGCCTTACATGTTTTACAACCAAACCATTTTGGAAATGGAAGCGCGTGCCTGGGGAAAGGAGAACAACAACGCGAAAGAGAGTGASCAATCTATATCATCACTCAGCCGACTGGTTCAAAARCTGATTGAGTCTGCGGATCTATCTCTGCAACACAAGCACGAGAACCTTACAATCCGAGATCGAAGGTCGCTAGAAGGATTCCTATCAAATTTCACCGTTTTGGGATTGGCGTACGAGCTCACTGGAAAGCGCACATACGCCAAGAGAGCCGCGGAACTCATCCAAAAARAWTTTGTGGATCCAGAAACCCTATGGTACCCAACACTGGGTGAAAAGAAACGGTTTAATTTGATAGGTGATGGCGCTGACTCTCCACAAAGAGTCAAGTTCGGAATTGCAGATTTCAAGGATGTTCGCAGCTTCATCGATGCGGTCCAAATGGAGAGAAAAGCAGGAGCATCACCCTACGACTCTTTTGATTTGTTAGATTTCAAGGACATTTATTTCTTCCTTGACGCCATGAGAATGGTCGAAAAATCGGGAGAATTGTCCGAAACGCAGCGGTCCGGTGTTCGAGATTGGTTTCGAATGTATCTCGACCAACTGGTGTCCTCGGGAAAGGTTGCCTATTACGATGACGGTTATCGTGGACTATATTATGACATTCAATTGATATCCATCGCAACCTTTGTCGGGAATCATMCATTAGCAGTAAAAAGCGCACACGAGTCCGTCTCGAGATTGATCGGGGACATCAACAAGTTGCATGGCATAGTTGATGGTCGATTATCTCTATCGTGCGAAGACAACCTCATGTTTACATTGGAGGGTTGGATCGTCATGGCACGCATGCTGTCCAAGATGGGCATCGAGCTATGGAAAAAGCTCCCAGTGAAACGGGAATTCAACGTATATTCACAAAAGTCGAGAAAGCAGATGAAAAAGGAAAAGTACCAACCGGTGCTGTGCCGGGCACCGGTGTTTGCTTTTCTTTTATCGCAGGATCCTGGGTCGTGTGCTGGTCGCAGCCCCTCGGAGTTTGGGCGGCACGGGGGAGACGAATATGATAGGTGGCTACCGATTCACGCGACCGTACAGCAATGGGATTGTCCGTCCCCAAAAAGGAACGATGACGAACAATATGACACCAATAGCCATTATGCCATGGAGCCACTCTACGATTTTTCTCCAGAGTATAGCGGCTACCACTCGATCGCTCCTTTTTGGAATTTAGGGCTTGGCATTGACATCAGTTTTGATTGAATAGAGCCGTAAAAGCGTACAGGAAACACGATAGATAAAAATTGCAACAAGTATATTAAGAAGTTAGAGCATGCTTCGTTTCTGCATGGTACAAGTGATTCGAGGAAAAAACAAACATGTAACATGCAGGTATAGGTAGAATATGATTGATGATTTCCATTTGTTGGTTTCGAATGGTGCTAAATAGTTGTAACAATCTAACCTCTCGCATATAGACACTATTAGAATGAGTACAGTACATACAGACTCAGTTGAATAAACCGAAAGCTGTATTGAGCACGCATATATAGTCGATTTGATGTTGGTGTGATTGGTGTGATTAGGTAGTATTTTCTATTGTATCGTAGCGAAAAAGTGTTTGAAACTAGCGATCGACAGAGTCTTGTTCGAACACTCGCAAGAACGAACCACTACACATTTCTCTTGCTAGCTACCTACGGCCGGTCCCGCGGGGGCAGGTTGCCACGCGCCAGCATGCCTCCATCGATCTGCCAGACCGCCCCGTTGGCCCACTCGTTTTCGATCATCGCCAGGGACGCGGCAGCGACCTGCTCCACGGTCCCCTCCTTTCCCAGGGGCATCCGATCGGTCCACGATTTGAGGACGCCCGGGTTCTCCCGAAAAAAGGCCTCGGTCCGCTCGACGGGGACGATCCCGGGGGCGATCAGGTTGGCCCGAACCCCATACGCAGGACCGTATTCGATGGCCTGGGTCCGGGTCAGGGATTCCAGGGCCGCCTTGGAGGCCGCGTAGGCCCCCATGTATTCGTTGGATCGGTCTCCGTGGATCGATCCCACGTTGAGGATGACACCGCCACCGCCACCGCCACCGCCACTGGCATCCGTGCATTCTTCGCTTCCTTCCCTGAATTGCTCCGCAAACAATTTTCCGAGCAGGTTCGGGGCGTGCAGATTCACGGCCATTGTGTCTTTCCACACGGTGAGTTCTTCGTCGTCRTCCTCCAGCGCCAGCTTCGTTATGGCCCCCGCGTTGTTGACCAGAATGTCCAGTTTCCCGGAGAGATCCTTGGCCCTTGCGAAAAAGGAGGGGATCGAGGAAGTGTTTCGGAAATCGCAGTGGAGGGCTCCGAGACACCGCTCCGGACCAAGCTCCCTGGAAAAGGCGAGCGCCTCGGTTTCCCGTGTGTGATAGTGCACCACGATCTTTGCACCCTTTTCCGCCAGGGCTTTGGCGATGCCCTTTCCGATGCCCCCAGCGGACCCCGTGACAAGAACTGTCTTTCCGGCCACCGAATAGGCGCCCTCTACGATCACCACTGCGGCGGTGTGCAGGAGCAGCAAGAGGACAAGCAGAGCAGGRCTGACCGCTTTCTTGGAAGAGATGGCAGCAGCGAGCATCGTCCAGTTTGCAGGAAGTAGTACTATATTTTTTCTGTGTTGAGAACGTTCCTGTATGGACGCGTTGACGGGTGGATGAATTGAAAAACAAGCTTTTGGCAGTATAGTCTAGAGATTACTATGCAATGCTGGTGAATTCGGATATGAGCTTTGGTGCATCGATGCTATGCTGTGCTTTTTCGTCTTMTTATTGATGGGCCGTCGCCAAGGGTTGTCATAGCATGATTGTCGTCGTCGTCGTTGTCGGGAATGAACTGCGTTAATTAATCCYAAGTCCACATCATTTTTCCTTGGTTCCAAAGATTTTGATTATTGATGATTGATGATTCCTCTACTTTATTCGCTTTAGTCGACTCGTTTGATTTGATTCGTTTGAAAGGAAACTTTCTAGTACTGCTCGTAGTACCGGTACGCTGTAAAGATATACCCGATGTACGTTTCTGTGCTACTGGTACCTGGTACTTGTTGATACGACAAGATGATGGTTCGCATGACATCTTGACATCCACACATCAAAACTGGCAAGGCAACGACTGTTGTACGGCAAGATACTACGGTACGTACAGCACGAACCAGATCGCATAGCACTGTGGACGGTATCGTACGATACGATCTTGCCCCTCTCRTATCCTGAGAGAGTTCTGTGCAGAGAATGTCTACTCCCTTGACTGAGCGTGTTGCAACAGAGTGTATCGGGTTATTSTGCACCAAAATCAATTGATATTTGCAACTGAAAACGTCTCAGCGCTGTACCGTAAATTCAAGATTGTGCTCATCACTTAGCAATGAAGTTGGTGAAACTCTACACGCTGCGGTACGCATACCGTCCCGATGTGCTGCTAAAACGGGTTCCATACCGAGACGAGCACCTGAAATGGGTCAAGCAATACCTGGAAGAAGGAAAATGCCTGAGCGTCGGAACCTGTAACCCACCTCCCTCTGCTCTCTCGACGAAAGAAGACGATGGTCCGACGGTTCCGACAGGAGCCCTTTTTGTCTTCAAGGACGAGTCGTCTGCACAAGAATACGTAAGAGGGGATCCATACTGTGCCAAGGCGAAGGACATTGTTGCGGCCCACACCATCGAAGAATGGAATACGATCGAGTTTTGAAGAACCGAGTGCACACAACCATAATCGCGTGCGCGGGCTGTCGGCTCTGAACAAAAGTCAATCATGAAAATCTTAAGATCTACACGAATAAGAAAATAGATTAGTTTGTTGGTCAACCACGGTGAACGCCAAACAGAACTGCTGCTCTGGTTATTGCTTAGATCAAACCAATCGATGGGGATCGTCTGAATGTGTTCCTCCTTGTTATAGCTTGCTGGTCCCGGGAAAGCCACGAGAGTTGCTGCTGTAGACGACATGCGCATCGGGATCCATCGATGGGAATSGCCCGGTGTCGTTGCGGTTGTCCCCAATCGGTCATTTTTTCTCGCCGACCATTCCATCGACGTCGACCACCCACGTGAGACTCTTGGTCGGTGTTACCATGCTACAGGGATAGGGTGGAGGCGAGGCAAGCTCTGGAAGCAGCGTCTGACAGGATGCTTCGCCTTCCTTGACGTCCCCGTCTCCAAGGACAAATACCTTTTCGGTAATGGCGTGCTTCGAAGCGCCGGCACCGCACACAATGATGTGGCTGGKGTTTTCGTTGAGAAATGCCATCGTTAGTGTAATCCGACGGGGTGGTGGCTTGGGTGAGTCTACGATCGATGCGATCCACTTGCCGGATTCCAGCGCCAGGAGTGGATGGCCGGGGAACAAGCTGCAGGTGTGTCCGTCCGGACCAAAGCCTAGAACTGCCAGATCGAGGGTAGAKTCGGAGGAACGGAGGGTATCCCTCATTTTTTCCTCGTATTTCACCGMGATCTCTTCGGTCGTGGCATCCGCCGCCGACGCGTCTTCTTCTTGTTCCTTCACCAGCCGATCGACCAGGCTTTCGTCGATGYCGTAGATCTGGTCGTCGGGGATGGCGACACCGGGAGAATCCAAGAAGTTGGCACGGATCGACTTCAGGTTTGAATCATCGTGCGTGCTCGGAACGCACCGTTCGTCGGCCAGGAATACGTGCCATGCGTCCCACCGTGGGTCGATGGCTCGCTCCCTGAAGCGATCGGGGAGCTTGCCGAGAAACTTCGGGAGCGATCCACCACTCAGGGCGATCGAAAACGCGTTGCGTTCTCGGATGGCTTCGGCAGCACGGGTAACGATCGCGTCGCACAACACGGGGGGAAGCTCCGCCTTGGAGGGTGCAATCAACAGGRTGGGGGAGGGCAGTGAAGACATGGTGCGAGAAGATGGTTGACGAAAAACCAAGAGTACTAAATTCAATGCAATGGATCTGTTTTTCAATGGATTTTTTCAAAAATCCAATTCGAGTACGGTACGTAGGAACTCGTACCATGCGGTGCTACGACTGGTACTCGTGCTCGTAGTTCGTCCTCGTTCAGTAAGGTACGAACGGTACGAGTGGTCTACAGGGRAGAGTTAGGATATTGGGTCATTCCCAAAAACCCAGAAGCCTACCATACAGTAGTAACTGTACTTGGCCTAATTTAGGCTTCTGGGTTTACGGGAATACAAATTTGGGGGCCTAGATTGATCACATTTTTTGGCATCTGGAATTTTAAATAAAGTTAACAAAACATAATTGCTCCACCAKCATGGGGGTTATTCCCACCACTAATTATTTTTGAAAATCACAGATTCCAGCCCACCGGAAACCCACCAGACACCACCATCCAGCAGCTGGATTGGTGGAAGTTGCTGGACTTCTTCCAGCCACCCACCAGCATCTTCTTCTGGGGACTTTTCTTGGTGGTCTCTAACTAGAAGAGGCACTAGTAGGTTCTTGGCCAGACCCATCACTTCTCCTGACTGAGGAGAAGAAGAATGCTTCTACTAGTACTACTAGTAGTTTCTCCAGGGAAGTACCTCCCTCCAGGGASTGTCCAAGGTTTTGTCGAGGCGTGACCAGTACTATCATGCATACTGACAACATGCCAATTAACTTGTTCCTAACTTGTGTTGCCAAATGTTGCCACCTGGAAAATTCAGGATTTTTTTCCCTCTACTACAACACTACTCTACTTATTACATCCCTCTCATCACTTTAAACAATCTTATTAGAATATATTGTAACATATATAAGTATATATATACTATGTTCATTTATAACATGTGTACACGCCGGGCACGCTACCAGGCAATAGTCTGGCAATAAGAATGGTAACTTGCTGGCGACTGAAACTTTGTGGAGGGGGCTAAGAGAATCTAATTATTATAGAAAATATTTATGGTAAAATGGTAGCTACCAGATTTCGACTAGAATTGCTACCAGACTGCTACCATAATTGCTACCAGCAGCGCCTGCTGGTTCCATTATAGTAGCTGGTCTAGTAGTAGTAGTAGCAAAGATATGTGGTACTAAAATCTTCAATGATGATCCTCCCTGTATTGGGTCATTCCTGAAAACATATATCTGTGTTAATTCTGGCACGCCCGGCTCAGTTTATGTATTGAAATACATAAATTTTGGTTGTCGTGGGCCCACGACAACCAACTTTTATGTAATTTACATATTTTTTTATTGGAATCCTTGAGTTAGATTTTTAGTGTGACTGGGGGCATGCGCACTAAATKATATGGGCGCTATGCGCGGATTCCAAATTCCAAAAATGGGGGGAAATATGTAATTTGAGCAGGCCGGGTGTGCCTTCAGTACCACTGAAAATGATTCCCGAAAAAATATCTCGATTTATGTTTTCGGGAATGACCCRTTCTTCACTGTTCGATAGGAATCTATTCCAGAATATGGCACACGGTTATCGGCAGTTACCGTATTCTGATTATTGAAAGATAATTTTGTTTGGTTGTTGGATCGGTAAGTGATGTTCCGTCGTTTCAGGAGAAGAGCTGACGTTCTTCTCTGCGTTCTTATTCTTAATATAATCATCTTTGAGAGAGGATTTAACAAAGTTCACTTGCGTGGTTCATCAACATTTTTTGAATACAGTAACTTTGGATTTTACTTCGTTGSTTGGTAATCCAAAAATCTCTTATTTGTGATGCAGGTGTTCATTAAAGAACTATCTTATACTTCGCAATCAAGAAACAATAGTACTTCAATTTGCACTATTAAGTATGAACCCTTGATGAATATTACTTAATGCTCTTCCATTTTTACTTACTGTAATACTCTTCTATACCACCAGTAGTAAATTGATAAGAACGCTACTGTTGTAATGATACTGTCCGTGTAGTCATTTTCTTAATGCTTGTGTAGTGTCGATTTTCTTCATTCTTCCAAAAACTAGTAAAGTAATAGTATAACCGTACTTTACCCAAGTACTGCAAGAGGAGTCGAGAATCATTATTTTTTTCGGCTAAGAAAATAAGCAGAAAGCTACAGTACGATACTGTATGTATTTAGTCATAATAGATAGGAATATAACGGGAGAATACGCAATTCAATCTTATTGTTCCTTGTTGTCATCGGATGATTGCAGTCTTTGGCATTCCATATTCCTACTAAAATTGTTACTGAGTTCATGCAATCCGTCAAAAACGCGAAGGCAAGCTCGATACTAAAAATGGATTACCACCATACAATTGCGAATGAGCTAAGGCATGAACGGATGAAAGATCCCGACGAGTCGATGGCTTTTGGCGAATTGCTTTACCGAGAAGTGACGAAAGTGTCGTCGGAAGATCGAACTGCGATTGACGAAGAAATCCACGGCGCTCGGTGTATGGCAGTGAAAGAAACTCCAGGTTTAATACGGAGGGCACTGATCGAATTCCAAAACGAACTCGATCGGATGCCTTCAGACCAGAAACAGACATACGAGGAGTGCTGTGTCCGGACAATGTTGTATGTTGACGAAGAGGCTTCTTGCTACGCACTTCACGACAATGAGTTCCGGTTGCGGTTCTTGAGGGCCGAACTGTTCGACCCTGCAAAGGCGGCTTTGCGCTTTGCAAAATACTTAGACTTCGTGAAAATCCATTGGGGRACCGACATTGTACTGAAGCGTTTCATTCGAATGTCAGACTTCAACAAGTCCGAAACGAAGTTGTTCCGCAAGGGCTATTTCCAGGTCTTACCCTTTCGTGATCGCAGTGGGCGGCGCGTTGTCACATTCCTCGGCGGCTTTGGTCCAGAGACCGATCCAGTGACGAGATCGAAAGTAATATTTTACCTTGTGGATGCCTTGTCGAGAACAGACATCGAGAGCCAACAGAAGGGTTTCATTTTGGTCACGGAAGCCTTTTGCTGGTGTGAAAACACTACTAGCAACGAAAAACGAACGAATTTGTCATTGAGCTTTCCCCATCCCCAAGAAAGCCCTTTCTATGTCAAGCTACTTCTAGAGTCGGTMCCGTGTCGTATAATAGCCATTCACAATTGTTGGCCTGATCGTCCGAGCTTTCGTTTGATCGCGAAGATCTTGACGCTTTGCGTGGCGATACCAACGCAACGTTTGCGATTGAAGTTTCACATTGGTGACGAAATGGAGATGAGATATCGCTTGAAATCCTACGGCATTCCAATTGAACTATTGCCCATAACAGAAACCGGTTCGATCAAAATGGTAAATCACACGCACTGGATAAAAACAAGGAGGCATATAGAGCAAGGAATCGATACGGTTGCTGTTATTGTTGAGTGCCCAGGAGTCAACGATGTCGTYTTCCGTCAAGGTACATCRTCCATGGAGAATCCCGGGAATGCGCAGTGTCGCGATTTGATTCTGGCATTGTTAGAACAGAAAGATGGAGTCATACCCACCCCGATGATAAACCCACCGGCTGCTTCGGCAGCTGCTACGGGAAATGCAAACCAGCAAAACCTGATCGTTGATCGATTGCTAGAAATTATTACAGATGGTTACCATGGACGTTTCTTAGAGTGGGACAAAGATCGCAGTGYATGGGTACAAATTGTAGAAAGATGCAAAATACGACAAAAAGCTTCGGTTTTGTTGTATTCAATTGCCAAGCGCTATGGTCGCAGAGGCGCTCCCAACAAAAATGGCAATCACTATAGCTACACCCTGAGATCTGACTCTGTCCCAAGTTTTTCACCTGCGTTATTGAGGCAGGATCTTCAAACGATGGATATTAAGTCGGACGACGATGARTCTGACGACCTAACTGTTCTCAATAATACCCTTGGACCCTTCTGTTTTGTCGAAAGAGGGAGACGGGCGATTGAGAAGCAAGTGTGTTGCCCAAAAAGTGAAGAACTTCAACCATCACATTTTTCTGCTTCCCAGGACCGTCGAAAGCGGTCGAGGAACCTCTGAGAATTATTAAGAATGAATAAAGAATCATTGACTGATTCATCGAAAGTTTTAGACGGCACTCTTCAATTTTTGCGAATCCTTTCTAGAAATGCTTGAACAATATATATATATCTATAACATTTTTGCGTGTGATTGTCGCTGTAATGTACCGAAAACGTTCTCAGTTTCGACGTGAAAGCTCTTCCCCAACGTACAATRAATTATTTCCGACGAATATTTTCCTCAGTTTATGAAGTTGTACTTCGTTTGYTGCAAATTTCATAGCGATTGATTTCCTGCCACATGTTCCGATCCTTATCTAAGAAAGGTTCTGCAAATCGTACTGCAATGGGTAGCTCAAATTGTTCGCTTTTTGAAATGGTTCAAAAATTAAAMTTCTTGAGAACCAAGCAGGATTGAATTTAGGTAGATCCGGTTGGACTGCACACTTCTCATTCTGAGATTGATACAGAACGTAGAACTTCCGAGGCACATACGTAGGCCATTTCCTCCTAGTATGTGACAATGCATAATGCCACAATGCAGTACTGTACTAAGGTAAATAGCACGGCGCTTGTTTTGTTAACCTACAACAATCTTAATGGAGGTTAGATAGTGTTTAGATACCATTATGATGATAATTGCTTTGAAGTTTTCCAAAATATATCTGTAGCGCTCCATTACAAGTTGCATTGAGTTGACCCAAAAAATGTTACAAGGCATCCAATCGTGACTTAAGATCAGGCAACATTGAGTCGAGTGCTTCTTGTTCTTCGGTCGACAGTTGTTCACCGACAGGTTGCATAGTAGGAGCATCGAGTCCGACCATTTTAGAATCCATTTCAACACCAAGTTCGGCGAGAACCTGGCTGGTGACTTGCTCGGCCTCGTCTTCGATCTCGTCGTTGTCGAATGCGTCCATTAGTGCATCTTCCATCAACTCCTGTTTAACCTCTAACTTTTCGTTTTCTCTCTGGAATTCCTGCAAAATCTTTGTTGTTTCCTTTACATTCATAGCCTCATTTGTTGTCTTCATGGCTTGACTTACGTTGCCAATGGCGGCTGCCGCCGCAACCTGTGTCGCCATCGATGTCGCGTTCATTCCCACGGCACCGATATGTGCCTTCGCCGTCATTATTTTCTCGCGTTGTTTCCTGGTTTGAACCAGCTGTTTTGCTAGGGCAGMTAGGGCCGGATCTTTTCCATTGTTTGTAACTTTTGCGCGTTGTTTCAATTCTTTCGTRAGCTGTTTTTCTTGTCGATCAAGCTCTCGCAGTTCTCGGTCCATTCCTCGTTGGGACGCCTGATTTTGAAAAGTGAAAAAAATTAAAAAATAAGAGATGGAAGTGCCACGACAGAATTCGGTTGGAACGTCCGGCAAGGAGCATTCAATGTTTCTTGTGGGCCAGTTAATGACCGAAAATCATCATCACTATYATTGGCAAAAGAAAGGCCAAAAACTTACTCGGACTTCTTTTCTCGTTTCACGCCTTGCTTCYTTCGCTAACTCCTTTGGAGTCTTCTTCTCCGCAAACGGATTATATTTCTTCAAAGAGTTCATTTTGAATATCTCGTGCTTCGTGACTAGATATCTTTCAAATTTGTTTCTGTATGACCAACCGGTAGGGATTGCCCGTCTTTCTCTCTCTCTCTCTCTATTGTTGACAAAAAAGTCAAAATAAAATTCTCGGTAAAATCTTTCAGTTTTTTGGGATGAGTTGCTGAAATGTTCTTTCTTGCTAATACGCAAACGGATTTGAGATTGTAAATCAAACAGTGCTCGCAAAACTAGTAKGATGCAGTCGAATTGGTGTTACTTTGGAGCACGTTTCTGCAATTGTCTTGTTGGCAACGGCAGGGTTATTGTAGTTGTAACGTTGGAAATAAAGCCTATTTTGTTCACCTCGTACCGGTACTCGTACCCTCGATTGACTTCAACGGTAAGAAAAACACAAAAAAGTACTGTATTTCTAAGAAACAAACACGATCAAGATCGTCTGTTAGCTACGTTGTCCCTGTACTGTTCTTRATCCTCGTAGTAAATGACTTACAGAGAGAACGAGAACGCAGGAAAGAGCAGAAGAACTCATCATCAAAATCAATCGGAAGCTCATGGTGACTCGCGCGATTTCGAATTCGTGCGCGATCAAGTTTTGAATCGTGTTGGCGATGGGAGCCTACGAGGCTAGGGTGTGAAATATCGCGTCCGATTTATAACAGGTTATGAGTCATAATTTTGCGAGCCATTTTTAATAATCAGCTAAAGCTTTGCTTGCTTGTTAATGCTACCAAAGCACCAATCATAATTTGAGAATCCATTGGCYGGAAAGGGTTTTCTTTTGTCTTTCCATACATGTGCATATTGTATATGTTTCTTGCCAGAGAACCATTTCCGGCTAGTAGTAGCCAGAAATGGTTCTGCGCACAGAATTTTCTGAAAAACTCATTAACACAACCTCCAGCATAGTGACCTGTCACTCCTCCAGTTCAACACTTTACCCACCACTAACAGCACAATTGATATACAGGACCTCTTCATTACAACAAGGCCAGGGGGGTCTGGAAGTCTCGGATTGATTGACCAAGTGGTTTAAGAAACACTAGATCTAAGCAACAGCAAAAAATYGTCGTGAAAATTAGCGAGCCTTCGTATCAGCAGCCTCTGTATCAGCATCCTCCTCCACATCAGCGCCTCCTCCATATCAGCATCCTTGTATCAGCAGCCTTGTATCAGTGTCCTCAGTATCAGCAGCTCCTCCTTATAAGCAGCCTCGTAAATAGATTTTTGGGTTCCAGCCAGGTGGAACTAAGTGACAGCTTGAGGTGCAGGGTGTAATATATCACACTGTTCTTYGCATAGGCCTGTGTAGAAATAGTACCAAAAAATGGGTGATTCCCGTAATCATTGATTTAAGTAAAATAGTATCAGACTTCAGTCGTGCACACATAGAAGTATGTGTTTTTGACACAGATACATAGATTTTTGGTTTGGGCAGGCTCACGCTAACCAAAAGTACTATGTAAAGAAACACATACTTTTTTTGGAATCCTCGATTCAAAAGTTCATTAGTCACAAGCATCTGACAGCCAGTTCTCACATGTCACTGATGTGTCACACTGGGGGAGCCAGTTCCCAAGTGTCACAAAGAAGCGCGCCAAAACAAATCTAAAGTGTCACTGAGTAGTAGGCAAAAAAGAATCAAAGAAAAGCTGCTGTAGCAGCATCAAATGGAGGTTGATAGTTGCTGGMAAATTTTGGATCATTAAAMAGGGACGTCAACAAGGAAGACAACGTCGACCTGTTTACTGAACAAGGACAATGACTGACCAGGACAATGTCACTAGAATTCATCATCCTTTGTGTAGCTCTCCACAATGAGCTAGACAAGGATGACCTGTCTCCAGAGGAAAGACAGTGCAGGGACAGGAGAAACCCAATGATTGCAATCAGGAGGTGGAATCAGTCTCCTTTCTTCCACTTGTATAGTTCYGGCAATGAGCAGGCCCTCCTGAACTGTTGTGGTGTGGATCACACTGTCTTCAGAGGTCTCATGGAACTCTTTGCACCAGTATTCAACATGTACATGATTGATGAGGCAACAGGGAAGATTAGAATGAGAAGCTTCCACAGGAATGGAATGCCAAAGGGACACTTCAGGGAAGCAAATGCCACTTGCTGCCTTGGGTTAACGCTGCACTGGTTCAGGACACGTGGATCAGTAGCAAGAGGGCTGCCAATGGCCTTTGGTCTCACATCAACAGTGTTGTACAAGTGGATCAAGTTCTCCAGGTGYGTCCTCCTCTATGTCTTGCCAGACAATCCAGACGCAAGGATCCAGGCTCCTGCCAGAGAGGATATCAATGCTTATGTTRCTGCTATTGGGGAGAAATACCCTTGACTTGGAKAGCAAAGGGTGTGGGGAGCTGCAGATGGCCTCAAGCTGAGACTGCAAAAATCTTCAAACTGGGCAACGCAGAACACGTTCTACAATGGATGGTCCTATGATACCTGTGTCAACAGCCTCTTTGTCTTTGCCCCTGATGGGAAAATTAGAGCTACCACATTCAACTGTCCTGGATTGTGGCATGACATCACCATGTCAGAGTATGGCGTCTACAGGAAGATGGAGCAGATGTACCATTTGCATGGAGGAGCAAAGGTAGTGGTTGATTCAGCATTCCAAATGCTTGGCAAGCCATATCTCGTAAGGAGCTCCCAACAGGATCCAGACCTCCAGGAAGCAGCAGACACAAGAGCTGCCAGAGCTGCTATATCCCTTAATCGTGAGGCTACTTCATTGAGACAGCTTGCTGAGTGGGGCATGAGGATGATCCAAGGACAGTTCCCAAGGCTGAAGGATAGGATCAGGTTYRAGGAGCAAGGTGAAAGGAAGATTCTCTTGAMSACAGCAATCTTGCTGTAYAATTATCAGGCCAGCACTGTAGGCATCAACCAGATCCTTAGTAATGTGTTCATGCCCAATGAGCAATACAAAATAGGCTTCTTCTSCCACCATACTGTGACAATTGACGATGATGCAAACAACTTGTTTTGGTGAGACACGATGGCAAAATTGATGGCAACATCAATACGATAGCCACAACAAGAACAAACAATACCAYRATGGCAACATCAGAATAGCCGCAACAACAATACATCAATACATCCCAGCAAGAGCATAGTATGCAACAACGAGATAGACAATACTAGCAGCAACAGTACACAAAATCAATACACAGTGGCTGATATGCACAGCAACCGATACGCACAGCAACCAACAATATGCACAGCAACCGATATGCACAACTGATACGCATTCCCATGGTCAACACCCAACAAGAACCTACCATTTTACATCAATATAGCAGCACAACCAAGCAGGTTAAACTAATTCATAGYATCAGCACAATGAGTGCTTCATGGTTGAGGAGCAAAGAGCAAAGCTACGCAATAAACAGTGTTAAGTTATTTTGTACACGATATTTCATGTTATTTGAATTTTTCAAGGTCATATGGTCCGTTGAAGCGTTGAAATTCATAAGAAATATATGTGTTGAATACATTAATGATCACAAAGATTCCCTTATATTGAGGCAGGAATAGAATCAATAAGAAATATACATTTTGAATATAATGAATACAAGCAATGCATGTTGGAGTATTCTTAGACACCGTACGACTTCAAATTTCAAAATACACGGAAGACCGTGTAGAAACTGTACTGAACAACATGAGCTAATGCGTATGAGTGAAGTTATTCTAATCCACCAGTGCTTCTTGCTGTTAACATAAAGCAGCAGTCAGTATGAACCAAATGGTGAAGGATGTGAATTAAAGTAATGATTAGTAATAAGATAATTAAATGTAGTTAAATGTAAACGCAACAATGGGAATCGACAATGGGGGTACTGTCACTGCTGTGCACTAATTGGAATTGGAACTGTTGCTGCTTGCACTAATTGGAATCAGAACCGTTGCTGCTGCTGCTGCTGCGGCAGCGACGCTTCTTCCTGCCAGCTTTTGGACTGAAGTGCTGCATGGCAATGGAGACAAGGGATCTAAGAGCGCTTCCAATTGCCTGGTAGGCCTCCTGCCTTTCTTCCCTGGCTCTCAAAGAAGCTCTCTTGGGCTGCGCAACACAGTCCTCCAAGGCCTTCACAATATCACGCTTTGCAGTGGCAGTGTTGTARGAATGGACACTAGGGGCTCTTCCGGGTGTAACAGATCTTGCTGTTGCAACAAGTGGAACTGCCAAGGTCGGCTCTTCCTGCTGAGTAAGTTGAGAATCTACTCCTGTTTCTTGCAATGAGGAAGGTTGTTGGAGTACAAGCTGAGGAGGAGGGGGCGCGTCATTGTTGTTGTTGCTGTTGTTGTTTGTCACATTGTTGTTGTTGTTGTTGTTGTTGTTGTTGTTGTTGTTGTTGTTGTTGTTGTTGTTGTTGTTGTTGTTGTTGTTGTTGTTGTTGTTGTTGCCATTGTTCCTGTCACAACTAACATTGCCACTGTTGTTGCCACTGTTACTGTTTCCAGCAGCAGGAGYGCGCCAATGGTTGCCCTTAGGATCACCATCACAACCATCAGGATGGACATAACCTTCTTCAATATCAAAGTGCTCCTCTCCATCACCACTGTCTGCCTTCTCTCCAATCAAGCGCTTGGCCCTCTTGGGTAGTAGTCTCACTGCCAAAGGACAATTAGGATCTCCAGTAGGAATGTTTTTCCTATGAAGGGATGCAAACTTCCTACGGATGGAGGGGACATCCCTAGTATTGGTGTAAGGATAGTTTTGTGTGTGAGTGGCTTCTACTTTATTCCACTGGTCACTCCCAATAGGAAGCCTTGCCAAGATCACATACATCAAGTCAATGGTTTCCTAAGTGGAATAGTTGGTTGTTCTAGATCTTCTGCCGCCTCCACCAGCAATGATTGGTGCTGGAGCTTCTTGTTGCTGCTGTCCCTGTCTTGTTAAAACCATCTTCTYACAGAATCGATGCTGCTTGCTGTGGAATYGATGTKGTTTGCTGTGGAATCAACGTTGTTCTTTTTGTGTCTGGAATCAACATGTTGAAACTACACATGATTTGCTGCATTCCAAGCAGTTCCTCCCCCCCCAGGGAAGAGGGTTCTCGGGGTTCTCAACTTTCTTAATTCCTGTTGACATGACTCCATCAGGCTTCTTCCTTGTCTTTGTGGTCCTTTTYGTGAGGATGCTAGCTATTCCGGCCAGTTACTTCAGATTTTGTATGGTGAACTGGTCATGGTTCACCTAGCTTTTTGGATTTGTTTTGGCGGGCTCCCCCGGCTCTTGGTGACACTTTAGATTTGTTTTGGAACACTCGCTGGCACCATGTGTTCTCAATATTTGGCGAGAATGCAGTTATTTTCTGTTAATTTCAAGCCAAATTCCATATTCCAAAATTAAGCACCACATGTAGCGCGCCATAATTCAATATCTATGATTCTATGTTTTTACATACTCATTCCCGTTGAGCCATAGATGCAAAGTATGTCGTCATAGATTTTATGTTTACAGGAATCACCCAATACCTGTCACGCGATAATTCACACCCCAGCCTCATAGTTTTCGTAACTCCTCATGATATCCCAAATCACCACAAATAATCTTACAAGCAGAGCTTGATTCCTGCTAGTAAGTGGTTGTATTCCTCCTCCGTATCATTGCTGATGTCACTAACAGTTGAAAATAGATCAGCAAACCAATCAAAAATGGAAAAAAGATGTCAAACAGCCAGGCCCTGTAGAGTTTTACATCAAAATATTTATTTCTTATCCATGGGYAAACCAGCCGTTATCAATTCCAAGTATATACCAGATAACCCTAACTCTATATAGCAWTGCTGCCTTGAAGCGACACCTGGTCAAGTATATAGTATGTAATAATAGAACCACTTAGTCCAATTACTTATGAATTCACATCRCACATGAAACAATGTGGATTGCATGTGAGTTTGTTATCTTTTTTTGTCTGCAGCAAGAAGGCGTAGGAGGACCCTACCAAGTTTCAAACAAAACTTCTCTTTCAAAAAAAAACATAGGATAATCATACCAGTACATCCACAACCAAAAGCACCCTTCAACAAGYCAAGGGTACTGTCATGTTTTTCTTACTCTTTTACATTACTAGTTTGCTCAATGGTTCATTCCCACATACATATATCCATCTATGTTTATGGGAGAGTTTTCAGTGGTACTACTACTAAAGACACGGCACCAGGGGGCTTCCTTGCTGCTCATTTTTTTGCCCCATTTTTGGAATTTGGAATCCCATATAATTCAGCACAAATTTCACAAGATTCCAGCAATGGTGCCATTCCAGTGTAATCTATGTATGTGGGAATGTTTTTGGTGGTACTAAAAGCACTGCAGGCTCGTTGAAAGTAAATACTTCTTGTTCTTTACCCCCGTTTTGGAATTTGGAAACCTCCTGTACTATCATTTAGTGCTAATTTCACAAAATGCCAGCAGTGGTGCAATTCCAGTGGCACYAATAAGAGTCAATTCAGACTTTYATGAAACCAGCTCAYYGAATCTATCCTMTGAAACTAGCTCCTGCACTAGCTATTGAAACCATCTTCAGCAGCCTCATTATTTGCCTATTGATTCCAGGACGTACATGGAAAGATGGAAGCCATAGAACAGGACTGGTGGAAGGGTTGTTGTTGACTCTGGATTTAAGGTCAAAGGATGAACTGGCTTTCTCATTCAGAGCAAACAAAATGACCCTGGTGCTACACCAGCTGGCGACTCCAGTACAGCTGGCATAATATGGTGAGGGAGAATGCCTGGGCTGTAGTAAGTACAGTAACAGGCAAGCAACAGCTGTCCTGCAGTTGTCTGAATGGGGCATGAGAATAATCCTGGTGYACTTCCCAAGAATGAAGGAGAGGCTTACACTGGAAGAAGAACTGGGGGATAGCAGCTGCTGGAGCTGGAGGTTCAACACAGTGGAGGAAGATGATGTGTCCATCTTCTTTTTTTATGACTGCAATCAAAGTGTGTCACATACAGGATTCTTTTGTCCTCCCTCTCAAGAAGATGACGCAGGGGCTCCTCGTCCCCTCTCTCAGCAAGATCCTTCACCCTCAACAACAGAAGAACAATGGTGTTGATACTTGTTGTAGTCCTAGTATTACTATATAGACGACAGGAGCTGCGCATGCCAGCCATCGTCATTCTTGTCAGCATTCTCTAGTCATGATGTGTTTTTGCTCTGGTGTCCTTCATATGTTCTGTCCTTGAGAGAGGAAGGTAAGAAATGCTTTTTCTTTGAAGCAAGATCAAAATTTTCAGTTTGGCGCCCAGTGACTGTCTTTGAAGGTGCTCCTGCTCACGAGACTGAAAATGTTTAGTCAAGGGTTCCCATAAATTTGGGCAAATATGCAACTCACATACTTATATCCTGGCTGTGTATTTGAGATACAAAAAAAAGCCAGCCAGCCAAAAATTAGATACCTCTGTGTAGTACACCTATGCAGGAATGAACCAATATTATTGGAATTGAAGCTCAACTCTACTTGTTACCAGTCCACTACTGTTCTACTACTGGTACTAGTAGAAGTACTACAGGCACCAGGAGTGAGGAGGGGGGCAAAAATGTACTAGTAGTAGTGCAGTAGTACTTCATACTAGATTGTCGTGARAATTCTTCTTGCACCAACCATCAGTCGTGGGGGGTCACATTCTTTGGGACCATTACTAGAAAGAGTAGTTAATCAAGCCAATCAATCTGAGGTCTCAATCCAAATCTGCTGTGTTGAGTCTACTGGTGACACCTATTAAATCTAGCTTCTTTATAATGACATGCTTCTCATCAGCATCACTGATGGCAGTAGGGGAGCAGAACAGAATTACATTGATAATGAGCTACTATCGAACCATTCGTACCAGCACAAAAGTTTTCATCGCGAATACTTCGAGGTATGAAATATTAAGTAAATCAGGGTGCGGGGGGTTTATTTTGGCGTAGTCTAGTTTAATTTGTCTTTTCCCTRATCTAGTAATCACCATCGCCATCATCTCCAAAGAGACCGCCACCTCCGGCAGGAGCCTCGGCTTCTTCTTCCTCCTCCTCTTCTTCTTCCTCTTCTTCGGCCGCAGCACCTCCAGCGGCGGCGCCGCCGCCGCCACCACCACCRCCTCCGAACTTGGCGAGTTGGTCCTTTCCGGCTTCGATCAATTCAGCGATTTCTTTTCCTTCGATATCGGCAAAGAGTTTGTCGAGGGAAGCACTGTCAGCTTCGACACCAACGGCGCTAAGGGCTCCGGTGACGTCCTCTTTAGAAGGAGAGGCGTTTCCACCGATTTGGAGCATAAGGTAGGTAGCGAGTTCCTTCATTTTTTATTACTAAACAACAAAAGGAATGATTTATTTTGATACATCGATTGGAAAAAGTGAGTTGACAGAACGAAACGAAATAATGATGGTTTGAAGCGATGACATTTGTATCCCAAAAAGTATAGGCCGGTCGAAATATTGATTCCAAAAATCTACTAATGCCGAATTGATAGTGATCTTGATCTATTAGATAGACATCAATATTTCACATCAATATATGCAAAATAATCACGGCATCGCTCCCACGAATGTCCAACGTCAAACCCTTCAGGATCTACATCCTTTCGACTTCTCCTACTCGATTGTCACGTTGCCCTTGCATCGACCCTTTCTATAGTCATCTGTGTTAYGATTCGATTGACGCCAAAAGACTTACATATTTTAAAAATTTGCAAGCGAATTAAGCGAGATTAGCAGCAAGCAACCTTTCAAACAATGTATCACCAACGTCGATCAAATTCCGTCGGAGCCGAAGTCGATGAGGGTGCTTTCAGGATAGGAGAGCGCTCTCATGGAGGTACTAGTAATTTCAAGAAAGAAACTCTAACTGCGCACGATTGTGTTTTGTAGTAAGTCGTAGAGCGGTAATAACAATATAATTGGACTCATTCGATTAAGTTCATGCGCCTCAACACAACTTACACGTCTACTAAAAATCGTATGTTATGAAATTCTACGCCGCACTTCGTGTCTTCGTACCGCGTGAAATACCTKTCTGCTTCGCGCTTGCCTCCGTGAAAAGATGGGCGGTGACGACTAGATTGAAACACTATTTTTGTTGGAAAGGTACGATGTGATCTCTGCTYAGGACCATGACGGTGATGATTATGATGATTGTAGTAATAAAGTTCAGGGARAGTGATAAAATGAGAAAGAAAGTGTGCAGCAACGATGTGAAGAGATAGTGGGCGGAGGTTCCCATCACTTGAATCGAAGCAGTGTGAATACCTGAAGTCGAATACATCGAACTCAAATCGATGTTGTCGACTTTCAGTGACTAGGATGCATCATGAATTGCTGAGATATATGATCGTGACCCTTGGGAGTTTCGATTGCAGTGGAGGCCAAGCCTACAATCCTTTACAGGGAACTGAAAACAAAATCTGTGGCTTTTGATCTGAAACATGGCCTTTTTAAGAGGAAGGATCYCTTTTGACGCTTCAGAACAAATGACAAAATGCGGAGAACACACGCCTSAACAGAAACATTCTGACCTCACTTTTAAAGAGCGTACTATCAATTTCCGAGATGATTATGTTGGCTATGTACTCACACCTTTGCATTCGCTTATGCACTACTCATAACATTCACAGCTAATTGATACATTAACTTCATCATGACTGTCAAGAGACGTAACCACGGAAGAAACAAGCACGGTCGCGGCCACGTCAAGCGAGTCCGATGTGTCTCCACCGGAAAGGCTATCCCTAAGGATAAGGCCATCAAGCGTTTCATTGTCCGTAATATCGTCGATGCCTCGTCCCTCCGTGATATCAAGGAAGCCTCCGCCTACCAAGAATACCAACTTCCCAAATTGTACCTTAAGATGTTTTACTGCGTCGAAGCCGCTGTCCATCAACGTGTTGTCCGCGGTCGTTCCCGTGAGGGACGCCGTGTCCGCACCCCTCCTCCACGATTCGGACGCCGATAAATACTTAACAATAGAAACACACCCCTTCTACCTGAAGACTAATTTCAGTAGTACGTAATATTTACCTCCCTTTCCCTCAAAATATGAAAGTTGTCGAATGAGTGGGTGGGACAACGACAGTATTTTTCTCCATTGCCACAGTGGCCCGGYGTCGAGAAATAAATGAACTTGTCCATGTTGAAGGCGTTGACCTACATCAATGGAAGAAAGTAGCAACAAGTACTACAAGCTTCAGGCGATGGTGAATTCTTCGTCCAGTTCTTGAAATCTATGTTATTTTTCCCTTTCACAACACCATTAATTGGAGTACTACTATGATAACTGTTGTGTTCTTTTACAGTCTGGTTTGTTTTTCTTGCTCTTTATACTTGTTCTGGTACTGCTGGTGGTTGGTGGTGACAACAGAAGCCAACAAGTGGATCACGATGGYAGTACCACTAGTAATGACCCATTCTACAATATCAGGGCTCTAATCATGGAGGAGAAAATCACTGATTGTATTTTTGTTGGTGGAGGAGGGCCTACTAAGATTGACCTGCTGTTGTCTGTTGATGGATTGTTGATTTGTCCAGTATTTTTTCATTACCAGCACTTTCCACAAACAGATAGTGCTATAAGTATTTTCTTCTGCTTCTTGCTTCAATAGAGTCCTAGTAGTAGTAGTAGTACCAGTGCATTCCTGCTATGCAATTCTTGTCACTTGCCTTGATGTTGCATTATGAGCCCATGAATGGATGGAAGGTGTAGTAGTACAAAACAAAACACAATGACAAGAGGAAAAGGTTCCAATGACATTGCATTCTTGTTGGTGAATTGAACAAGTGGATTGGAAAGCTGCCCCATATGATGAAGATTCTAAGTCAAAGTGGATGCTTCACATTTTTAAATGATGTGGGATTTATTTCTTATTTTTGTTGTGAACAAAAAGGCCAGCACCGCCCATTGCTAATGGAAACCTACTACTAGTAGTAACTCAAGAAAGCTGCCTGAAAAAAGAAGATGTAGCAGATGGATGAAGGATTGAAGAGGATAGAAAAGGAATTGTATTCTACTAGTGACTCGTCACTGAAGAAATTGAAGGACCACAATGTCAAGGAATGGTTGCAGAAGTTCATTGTTGTTACTGATGCTTGTAAAGAAGATTCTTGGAATAACTTCAACCACCAACATGAGATGCCAATAAGAAGGTGTGCTGTATCCATGTATTAAGAAGAGATATATTCTTCCAAYATTGATCCTGTACTAGTACAACTGGATTGGATGTAGTAATGRATAGAGTAGTGCAGTAATTCTTGGGGTGACAACATCTTGCAACACAATATGATGTCCTCATCCTCTGAGATCACCTGATCTTCATGGTAACTGTACTTTATTACAGCAAGAAACATGATAGTCTTCTTAGTACTAGAGGATGAACTTARAGGACTCCTATAAAAATAGAWAACAAGAACACCTTAGCAGCAAMCTATTCTAGTACAAGTAGTAGTGTACTGGGCTAAGGTGATACTGAGATTATTATTCAGGAGGACAATGTACTAATGCCTCACAAGGCATCAATCAGAGATGATATCACAGCAGCTGCAGCTAGTAGTACTAGCAAAGGTCAGAATATTTCTGTTATCTCAACCTAGTACAAACAGTCCTCTGGATTTGAATGTATTTGACATTGGCTTCTTGAATTCCCCATTCAAAATTTGCAGTACAATTCAAAGTGCCCAAAGGATATTGATCATTTGATCACCAATGTTTAGAAACCTTTTGATATGTGCTGTGAATGCAAAACTTCTTGTCTCAACAATGTATTTTTATTACTGCAGGCTTGTATAAGATACACTTGGTGTTGGAGGTGACAACAATTACAAACCTCCCTATGCATGACAGCACCCTTCTGGTCTCAATTATTTGTGACCCTGCAAGCACCATAGAAGGTCAGCAACTGCTAGGTCTTGCTGCTGCTGGAGACAAGGCCACAGCTAAACAATGAAGTACAAAGATGTAGTAGTGTGATCCTGAATTAGAAGTAGAAAATGGTTGTAGCATTAACAGTAAAAATATATTCTCTGGTACAAGAAACTGCTGCAGTACACATGTAATACTGAAGACACTCTTTAAGAACAGCAAAAAGGGGTCATACTAGATACATTTATTTTGGAATGAAGGAAGTAGCAGTGCACAAGGGTTGTCCTCCTAACTCTCGTCACTACTAGTACTAGTACTAGAAATATGCACAGCTACTATTTCTAATTACTTCTTACTGATTTCTGACTCCAACTATGATTATTTCATTGCTTAATAATCTKCCTCCCCTGTGGTAAAATGAATATATCAATAGGATTTGCTAKAATTTATTGAGCTCTACTAGTAGTACTAGGAGCYATGACAAACTGCTTTGCCCTTTGCTAAGACATGAAAAAAACTTTTACAGCTGAGTTATCACYAGCTCATGTCTCCTCATCTATCCAAGTGTGAGCCTGGCTAGTAAATTAGTTGTTGGCTATGCACCAAGACAACTGATTTTTTGTCAGTAGTACTASTAGTACTATTAATGGGTGGTAGATTACTAGTAGTAACAAGAAGCTGAAATACAGCATGCTTACTTTTTAATCAATGTTGTACCACTAATAGTACTACTTTGCTGGCTGCTGCTACTTCTAGCAGCTATTGTGTTGGAGGAGGAAATTGGATCTTTGGAAAGTTTATAAAAATGCACCGTTTTTTTGCTACTAGCTACTAGCTACTTCTAGTACTAGCACTCCTAGTAGTAGCCTTTCCAGTAGGAGTAGTGCTACTGGTAGTAGGACATAAGTGCTGACAAGTTCTTCTTTGTTATATTTAGCACTACTACTACCACCACCAACAAGGCATGATAGTAAGCAAAGTTCTTCCTTTTAGTCAAACTAGCTAGTAGTACTAGCAAAAGTACTAATACAACTAGTTTTTCACACTACTAGTAGTAGTGACCAAATCATCAACCTAGATAATAATCTCCTTGCTTGTTCTTCTTCGTCAAAGATACCAGTTATTCTTGCTGATTCACATGTAAAATTAATCATCTTTTCCTTTTACTACTATATGCCCAAAAATGTCATTGAAGGTAGAGCTTCATTATTCAAGAAGGATTGCCCCATGGAAAGGAGAATCATCATCTACAATTGTTTTGTGTGTGTGTGTGTCTTTCATACTAATTCCTTGTGTTGGAAGCAACAGCAATATTCAATGGCATGATGATTGTAGTAGTGCTACTCCTCAATAGTTGTACTGATACTTCCTCCTCTTTTGGTAGGCTATATGTGACAACATTGTCTTGATCATAGAACCCCCTGATCTGATGCCAGTGAWATCTGAATTTTCTTTCTCATAAGTAATATTGAGAAAAAGGAAAAAGATATTTTCAATATATTATTCCTTTCATTGGTGCCCAAGTACTAGTACTAGTAGTAGGAAGATTGGATTGGCCATTTACAATGAGCAATTCAAGCAATTTTTGTTGACATGGTAACAAGCAAGAATGTGCCATGAAAGTGATAATTTTACCATTTGCAATGGTCCTACTAATATGGTGGATACTTTCTTCTGCTTGTATGCGTCATTTCTTTACCAAAAAAGGAACTTGTTGATAACATTGCTGGCTATTCTTGTAGTAGGAGGAAAATAATTATTGTATGTTCATGGGCATGCTTTCATTTTTCACTCTTTAGGAGGTCATAAATTTTGCTACTATAGTGGACAGTGAGCACAGCAATGAGTTAAAAAATTTGGAGTTCAGGTGAGGATACAAATAAACCTTTGAGAACAGTCGTATTTGTTGATGGAAGCACCAATTTGAGAAGATGCATTTGTGTATGAAAAAAATACATTGTCACCACATTCATGGATGGAAATGAAGGCTAGCAGTCTGCACAAGGTGTGGAACATGGTCCTCACAAACATGAAGATATCAAAATCATGTGGACAGACCATCAAATATATTGTTGTTATGTAGTACTAGTAGTAGAGGATGGTCAGATGGACCAGCAATATCAATCTTGTTCTGATCAATAAAGGGGGCAGTACTGTGCTTGATTTCTTRAAGCACCACCACCAGTAATTGGAATCTATTATCATCTTAGAATTTTTCTGCTCTACGACTAGTAGTAGTGCCATAAAAGAATACATTTTGCCTTTTTCCATCAAGAAGTAATAGCTATCCCATAGGCCTTACCTATCTGATGCAAGAAGCAACAATACTTTCAAAAAAATATTTCACAAAAACTTTTGCACGAACTACTAGTAGTAGTGGGTGGTGTCTAATACTACTAAGCAAAATAGGGGAGAGARTCTAGTAAGAAGTTCCTATGCTTAGCACAAACACAAGTACAAAGAAGGATGTTAGTAGTTACCAGCATCATTTGGTCAACAAAATTCTTTGTACTATTTTTCCATTGAAAACAAGCAATTGTCAGCTGCTGGTTCCCTCAGCAGCAGTGGTGTGTGCATCCAGTAACAGTAATAACAGTGCTGCTGGCGGTAAAAAATCATAATTTATGTACTACTACAGCATAGTAAATTTTGAAATCTGCAGTAGTATATNATCCAGTAACAGTAATAACAGTGCTGCTGGCGGTAAAAAATCATAATTTATGTACTACTACAGCATAGTAAATTTTGAAATCTGCAGTAGTATATGCTGATATCATTTGCAAGTAATATTATGACTTTTGTGGGAAATATAGCAACAGCCACCAGCACCTATGAATTCATTTCACTTGTTGCATGGCACAGCAACAACAAGGTAGTAGCAAGACACATTTGTGGAGGGAGGATGTATTTTTACWTAACAAGGCAGCAATCACAAGGTAAATAAAAGTTGAAGAATACTAGTAGTATATTCAATCCTTGTTTGTATGTCCTTGATTGTCCTACTGCTGGTACTAGTACTACCAAATTTTTTGATAGTAACAAAAATGGTGGACAAGGTCCACATGGTAGGTGGTGGTAGTAGTATTACTACTAGGAGTGGTGCTGGTGGTGTTTTAAATTCTTTTTCTTTCTCAGGCAGCAACTCTACAAGTACTAGTGGTGGCAATCAAAATGCTTTTGATCCTCCTCAGCCTGTTGTCCGTAGGATATCAGACCGTGCGTATGATTCATACATACGACACATACATACGATACGTATCTACGATTCATACACACCATACATATATGACTCACGCGATCCCCTAGGATTCATACGATCGACGCGACTCATCTCATTCACTTGCGTGCGTGACTTGACTTGTTCGATTCACACCTCACTCGATCCTCTCAGTGATCCATTCTAGATTTCATAGTTCGTCGATCCTCGATAAGAGCATCGACTCACTTTTCTACTAGYACACACTTTACATCTCTTTTAGGACAGTCACTCCCACACAGCCATTGAAGGAGAAATCTCATTTCTTCCTTGTCCCTTAACTGCTAAAACTTCTTGTCAACAGTAGTAGTAGCCAATATTTGAGGATGGTGGATCAAATAATATTGGTCCTTCTTCTTGTCACTGCTGCTAACTGCTATGCTTTTGTATTTTGTGCTTGACCTCATCAGCAGCTAAAAGAAGAATCAAAGTAGTAGAGAACAAAATTTAAGATTGTTTTTAGCAGCATTAGTAGTACTAGCTAGTAGTATTAGTATTTACTACTAGTTGTNAAAGAAGAATCAAAGTAGTAGAGAACAAAATTTAAGATTGTTTTTAGCAGCATTAGTAGTACTAGCTAGTAGTATTAGTATTTACTACTAGTTGTACTAGTAGTAGTAGTGCTTTTGAGGCTTGTCACTTCCACCAAAAAATAGCAGTAAGAAACTCCTCAGCCTCTAGTACTACTAGTACCTACACCAACATTGCCATACACCACCACCACCACTACTACTACTACTACTATAATACTAGTATTAGTAGTTCTAGTACTAGTAATATCATCACTCTGGTGTACATCACTCAATTCAATGGTACTACTAGCAGCACTACATGAAGTAGTAATCAACAGCACTACTACAGCTGCAAGTTTTCTAGAAGTAGTTGAACTAGTACTAGTCTACTACTACTACTACTACTACTATTAGTAGTAATGGTTGGGTAGTTGGAGGGAAAATGCTAGTATTAGGACCACTGAGTGAAGAATGAGCAAAAACCACTTGAACACTACTAGTAGTTCTGCACTATCTACTAGCAGGTACGCCATAAATTTAGAAGGTGTCAATGCGAGTAGTCCATCATCCTCGCAACTTTAACTGGACATAGACTTACTATCAGAGTGGAAGAGTGGTAGGTGATCAAACACAGTATTTACCAATCAATCATCTGACCAATCGGTCGATCAATAGRTCGATCAAGAATCAACCAGCCAGCAATCGAACTGGATCGTCCTAATAGTACTATGGAATATTACGAAACACTTTTTGTTTGATTGCGGGTATCGATTCAATGAAACACTTGCTTTGGTTCCCTTTCGTACCATATTCAAAAATGGCCAATTTTCTTTTGTACTGGGCAATCCCAACGAATTGTTMAGAAGCAGCTKACGAACAGCATMKCTAGTACTTGCTTGCTACTAGGCCTCATCTTCCAAAAAAACTTTTCGATGTTGCCGCGAGCARCATTTGCTACTGGTTCTTCTTCCAAATCCCCGATTCGCGATGGATCCGCAGCCCCTCCTCCTCGAGGACCGGTCCGCACACCTCGATCCGCTTCGCCGTGGGCGTCGCCATCCCGTACAGGTTTCGGATGGGGACGTCGAAGCCCCCCGGGCCGCTCACCCTCCGCTCCAATGCCCGCGCCGAGCAGCCGTAGACGATGCGCCCCACACCGCTCCAATAGATCGCACCGGCGCACATCACACAGGGCTCTGTCGACGAGTACAGGGTCAGCCCGGACCTCGGCTCCCCGGTGTACTCGAGGAATTCCCTGCTTCGGAGGAGGGTAATCTCGGCGTGTCCTGTGCAGTCGTGGGAGGTCGATCCCCCGCGTTTTCCGATGGCCGGTGTCGGGTTGTGTGCCCTTGTGATCACGGTTCCTCCGGAGTCGGCAAGGACCGCTCCAAAGGGCATGCATCCACCATCGATCGCTTTTTGGGCTTCTCGAAAGGATTCTACCAGGTTTTTCTCGTCGTACTCTCGCAGGCTGCTCTCGACGACGATGGAGGAGTCTGCTTCTTGAGACGACCCGGTRCTGCCAGCAGCTTCACCCGTCATCCTACTTGATTCGATGATAGACAAACTCGTCGGCAGTGGGCARAAGTGCGGTTTTGAATTGTTKTAGCACGACGAAGATTTCAACAGGCCGTACCGTGAAGCAGGCAACATCGACCAAGTTCCAAAAAGAACAGATCTCTTCGCCCTTGTCACGAGCGGTACTCGTACGTAGCGGACGTACCAGTACATCCTAGCTAGTACCRTWCCATTTGGTACGAGAATCAGAMGTAATTGTTCCATTTCTAACAAAATCTGGAATGCGCGTTTGCAAAAAGGCGCGTTTTCGATGTTSGTAGTTGGTAGAAGTACGTACGGTACGTAGAAGCATTACTGYACTATGACTCTACATGAGAATGATCCAGGATCCAAAACTCCTTCCCGATTGCTGGTGGGATTTTTGTTCTGGTTCTTGTTGTTCGTCAAATCAAAGTCTCAGTTAATTACAGTATTGACCATTGTTCTTGTTCTGTCGATCTTGTTGGTCRAACAGCCACTGGTGTCACAAATTCACCATATGCCAGTTTACATCCATGTGGATCGCGGTGTGAATGCAGATGTTGATATCGACCAGGTGATTCGTGCATTCAGGCTTTACGAAACAAATACCATCATTTGCTGTACCTCCTTGGTTTTGCACTTGAGACCCGGCATTCAATATCGACAAACGGAAGCATTCGAATGTGAGTGAGCAGCGCAGCAGCAATAGCAATAGCAATAGCAATAGCAATAGCAATAGCAATAGCAATAGCAACGGCAACATAATATCTTTCTTCTATGGTGTGAAGTTTCGACAATCAATTTCCGCTCCTCGATTACGCGCACCGTTGAATCACCGAATATCTTGGCACGTTTTCCGGAATATTTTGCCGCGAAACGAGATAAGAATAAGAACGGAAGGCCAAACACTGCACATTGCTTGTCCCAAGAGAGAACGAATTTCTGCCGCTATGGTTCCCCAGAATACGAAGGGAGATGGTGCCGTCGATGAGGACGTTGCCATCGAAATTTCCCTGAAGGAAAGAGGACTCTTGGATGCTTCCCACAATGAGATAGCCGGAAGCGAAAGCAGCATCGACGAGACGGTGGTCGTCCCCSTCATCGATATGTCCAAGGGGACCCGGGAAGAAGTCATTGCCCAGCTGTGGGACGCCGCCACGGGTGTTGGATTCTTTTCCCTTGTGGGCCACGGAATTCCGGGGGAGCTGATCGACGAGGCCTTTTCCAACAGCGAGGAATTCTTTGGGCTGYCGCTCRACGAGAAGCGGAAGCAATCCCCCCTCGACATGTCGATCAACTGCGGATTCGAGCACTGCGCACAGGTTCGCCCCTCTACCGGCCTGGCCGACCAAAAGGAATCCRTCCAGATAACGGCGCGAAGGGGTGCAATGGATGGCCGCTGGCCGAGGCTGGGGGGAAGCGAACGGCGTTTCGAAGACACCGCCCGCCGGCTCCTCGAAGAAGCCAACCGATTGGCCGGGGAACTCCTCGATATGCTCCAGCCCATGGCGTGCCCGCAGATCGATGCCAGTGACCCCCACGCACTGAGCGGTTCCCACACCTTGTGGGGTCCCGAGGGGCAATGCACCCTCCGGTTTTTGCACTACCCGCCCCAGTCTCCCGAGACAACAAAGGCACTCGCAAGGGACGGATATTGGCGTGCCGGTCCCCACACCGGTAAGAATTGTTGATTGYACGGCATCGAAGGAGGGTTMTGTCTGTTTCGTTTTTGCACCCTGACTCGCACTRTTTCGGAGYGYCGAGATGGATCGCGGTCTCTCTATCTCGTTTGTCCTCAACCCGGATTGATTCTTCCTTCTCCCTGCTGTCCTCTATCTTGGCCGCAGATTGGTGCAACCTGACCCTGCTCTTCCAGCGCCCCGGGCCGGGGCAATCTGGCCTGGAGTGTTGCGCAAATCCCCGAGCCACGACGGGCGGTGCCTCCTCCTGCACCAAGCGCCTCCGGTGGACCAGGGTCGATCCCRTCGAGGGCGCGATCGCCGTAAACATCGGCGACATGCTCGCGCGCTGGTCCGATGGACGCCTTTACAGCAACCTGCACCGGGTCCGCCTGCCCGAGGACGCCTCGCGGGCTCGGTACAGCATCGCCTTCTTTGCCCAATCYGACAAGTCTGTGGTGATGGAAACGAGGTCTTCCGAGCCGATCACGGCCGGCGAGTACATCCTCGGGCGGATCCGGAGCAACTTTGCCTCCACCGAAAAGTAGCTAGCAMGCAATTGTGTTTGGCGCACGAGCCAATCGGCTTCAACCACCCATTAATAAGGGCGGAGACCGGGAATCGCTTCCGAACCGGTCCTTGGTGTGTATAGAGTGTTTCTATGAAGTASTCGGCAACCACCGACAACACAAAACACGGAAACATGAAGTTGTTACAATCCTTTTTCTTGCTCTATTTCTCCGTCTTGCATCATTTTGTGCACATCAATCTCATGGTTCGGTTGCACCAGTACTACCAGCTACTAGTAGTACTCTCTCAATCCTTTGGAAGATAGATTTGAATTGTCAGATCCAGGAGACTTGTTAATACCACTAAACGTTGCATGTGCATATTACTACTATCATAATATGATGGCGCAAAACAATTGCTTACTAGAACTTTTTGTTGCAGTATTATATCAATAACAATAATTGTAGTACTGCTGCAACAACTATTATGAATATTATGATCATGATAGTACAAGAAAATACTAGTAGGCCAGGAATTTATAAAAAAACAACTCTACTAGACCACCAGACTAAGGAGTGCCCAGTCCAAGTTCTTGGTGAAACAATTATCTAAAGGTGAGTGTCACCRGGAAGCCAACAAAGGATGCTATAGATTTGGAACTAGTAGTAGTAGTCTGGCAAACAAGTTACACTATTGGATGGCTGAMTTTTGCTTTAATTTTGGCTGTTAAAAGTAAGTAGCTATGATTCATACTACTTGTATKGTTCATAACATGTGTGTCTATGAAGTTAAGGATCTAAACTTGCGTAATAGAATTACTAGTTACTACGCGTTGCAGATCAATTGAAACTACGTTTCACAGGGGTTCTCAATGTTAGTACTAGTAATTTAACATTCCAAATGTTAGCAGCATAGGCTAGTATGTACTAGAAATGAGTACTGTGGTTTTTGCTTCAATTTAATGTCCTGTATGCTCTGCTGAACAGTCTGAAAGTTAGGAGGGAAGGCGTCCTCTTCTTCCTCTTTTTTAGATCCCTYCTTCCTTTTTAGGCACAATGTGGATAATACTAGGATCTACGTAGGCCTGCCCTAACATTCCGTACATTAAATTAACATTTGGAATGTTATTTCTAGTAACATTTGGAATGTTAAATTATGATTGGGAACGCCCTGTGAAACATACAGTAGTTTCAATTGATCCGCAACGCGTAGTAATAGTACGAGTTCGGTTGCSAGCAATACAATACGGTAMGTTCTAAGTACCGGCAGAAAGGGGTCTAAATTATTACCCCTCCCAGCAGTACGAACCGGTACGGTCCGTTACTTYATGCTTTCATGCCAGATAGCCAGTAATCTAGCAGTACGTATTCTGAAACACTCGAGAGTTACAATGATTGRCAGTTCTCAGGCGTGCACGCTCTCATTTTTTCGTTGTCGTACGAGGAGGTCGATACTCTTCCCCTCATATTCCTTCAGGACGAAGATGAATTTTCTAACCGTTCATGTTTACCGTACACCATAATACGTACCGGTAGTAATGCTTTCTTCATGTTTCCCCCCTATTATTGCTACAGAGTCTTTTTTCTTTTTGCCGTGGTGGGAAAAACAGGGTAGACATCAATTTTGCTCTTGATAGAAAAAGAATCCCATTGCTCTATTACGAAGAATAAGTTATTATCGACGSAACAAGAAAGCGAAAGCGTAAACATACTACAACTACACTACCATGAGATACTATTCTGATTCTAATACTTCAATATATCACAACCATTCCGTCTCTAGAAATGATGATAAACACAACATTCAACGACGGCAATGGTGGCAACCGATTGCGAACATGACGGGGAAAAAAATATCTCTGTTTTTCTTCGCACTGAATCTCCTTGGACTCTTTCAGTACAGGAATGTAATGCGTCGAGTGCTGCATGAAACGACGATGCAAAACGAAGATTTCGCAGGAAGCTATCCATATCATCACCGACTCATCAACGATACGAAAATAGAAAATAGTAGTGGAATAGAAGAACCTCAGTCGCCGATATCAGCTCCAGCCAGTGCTATAGAAGGACATGATATCCAGTTGAATACGACGATTCTACCAGACATCGTTTCTCAGCAAGAGCAAGAGCAGGAGCAACACAAACAGCAACAACAGAACACAACTATTTCATCAACATTAMCTTTGAGTTCAAACAAGGTTGATAACAGAGGGAAATTTGCTTACGCCTTTTTGATAGGTGGAGCGATGACTGAAAAAAAAGGTTCGGCTTACCTTGGGGGGTTATACGGAGTTGTCGTGGCAGTGCACAGTCTGAGACGTCAAGGTAGCAAGGCCGACTTCGTCGTGATGATACAAATTTCAGCCACAACAAATGAAACGAAACTTCCGGAATTAGAAGAATCAGTGCTGAAAGCGATGAACATACACGTCAAATATCTACCAAAATATTCAGATCCCAAATTTGAATGCTTCTATTCGTTGATGATGGAAAAATTTCGAATATTGCAGTTCGAAGAATATAGTCGAGTATTGTATCTGGACGCTGATATTTTGCCGAAGAGCAATTTAGACTACGTAATGGAACTGAGTGAACAAGATGATATGTTCAGAGAAAATGTTGTCCTTTCATACAARCAAGAACCAGCCACTGGCGGCTTCTTTGTATTGAAACCAAATGCTAGCGACTACGAAGAATTGGTTGACATCGTTCGCAAYRTCGAACACAAATATTTACAGATACCATACCCCCACTGGGACAATTCAGAGGTAAGGTAACGTCAACTACTTCGACACAGATAAATTCTCTATATCTCTCTCAATTGATTCATTATTTTTCGCAATGTTTAAAAAATACTGGTATTAGGGATGGGGGCACGTCATYGACGAATCAGATCCTTGGAAGTCAACGAAGACAAAGAGAGGTACTAAATGGAATTTTTATGGGTCCCAGGCTGACCAGGTGAGTAGATACTTGGTTTTGGTGACAAATGAATAAATATGCGTTACGTGKATCTTATTTCTTTCGACGATGRTTTTTTCCGCTATCTCAAAACCCATATTATTGCAGGGATTCTTATATTATTGGACTAAGTATTATAAAAAGTCTGTATCGATAATAAATCTTGTCGATATTCAACATTGGGGACTCGAATCTGGAACAAACAGTCTCCAATTACTACGTCATGATAATGATACTCTCAGAGAATACATGTGCACGAATTCCGAGTGTGACAGCTCTGCATGGAAGATGGCGCCTTACCAAAATTTTGTCCATCTCACTGGTCGAAGCAAACCTTGGTACAAAAATCGCACATCACTTGAAGAAGGAATTAATTCGAAAAAGAACCACACGTCGTTTAAACGCTACAGCAATGAAGAATATTGGTATTGGTTGTTGAAAAACGCTCTACAAGAAACAGGTTTTCATGATCGTGTTTCGCTCGATTTTATCACCCAAGAAAAGAGAGAAAGCGCAGTAGGGTCGACTCCTAGTTTTGATCAAAGGGCGCAATATATCCGACGGAAGGCCAAAAATGGTTGGCGGCAATACGAGTACGAAGAAAGAGATTTTAACGAAGGCAACTACGATGAACGTTTACTTACTCTTGCAAATTCTGGAAGAGAAACTGGTCGGCGAGCACAGGATCTCGTGGCGTCTTTGGAAAGTTTTCAACCTCAAACAGCATTGAGACCATATCTCATCAGATTGGAGGCCATTAAAAACAATTTGATGACACAAGCGATGCCTCAAATTTCGCCTGGAGAGGAGGAAACTGCATTAGATTCGACATCAGCAAACGAAGCTGCGGACACACGAAAATGGGCATATGCGTTTTTATTAGGCGGAGCGCGTTCGAACACCACTGAGACAGAGTACTTGGGTGGATTCTACAGTGTCGTGGTAGCTGTATATCAGTTGCGAAAACTTGGTTCTAGGGCCGATTTTGTTTTGATGGTTCAAATTGCAGCCGAGAGCCCTCACCACAAACTTTCAGGATTTGAACAAGATATATTGCAAAAGATGAATATAAAGGTCATATATATCCCAAAGTTTGCGAACGGCAAATTGGAATGTTTCTATTCGCGTAAGTATCTACAAATAAACAAAAAGAGACAAAGAGATGAAAATAGATTGATATCGACGTGATTTTTTGTCTGACTCAATTTCTTTCTCACACGCATTCACAATACAACAACACGGCACACAACCAAATACTTCTATTGCCACCGCGGTTCAYAGTTATGATGGAGAAATTCCGTATTTTGAACTTGACAGAATACTCCCGCGTAATGTATTTGGACTACGATGTCTTGCCAACATGTAATTTAGACTATCTTTTTGATTTGAGTGATCCATTACCGCGACTACCTGGACGGGGGTCAAACATGATGGACCAAACATCCGATGCTACGTTTCGATTGAAAGAGAATGTTATACTTGCGTATCAATCAGAGCCTAGTGCTGGGGGTATCTTTATTCTAAAACCTGACGCAAGTGACTTCAACCAGATCCAACGTATAATCTACGAGAAGGAAGTCAGGTCATCGAAACAACCGTATCCACATTGGGATCCAATGTTTGTGAGTATAGCGTTACGAGMTGAGGAAATAATGAAACACAACATCTCATCGTTTCAAGTGGTGTCCGAAGTGTGTCATGACATGATTCGAGTCTCATCTGGTTTGTTTTTCTGTTAAAACTCAGGGATGGGGACACGTCATTACGAAACCAGATTCGTGGAAGGACATGAGAGGTCGCACAGGATCTAATTGGACTTGGTATGGAGCGGAGGCCGACCAGGGTTTATTATACTACTGGACAAAATATGTCAAGAAGTCGGTATCCATCATTAGTAAGCACAATATAGAGCAATGGGATTCAAATTATTGGGATACTGATTCGAAAGGAACATTGTTCCTTCGTCAAAATGAAACCAACATGCCTSAAATCGCGAAGAAGCCTCTTGAGAACTACGGGTGCCCTGTAGAGGGATTTTTGCCTGCACCTTACAACGATTTTTTTCATTTGACGGGGAGAGCCAAACCTTGGTTTCTAGAAAGAGAGCAGTTAGAAAACCCGGATTGCTTTAATAATAACAACGAACGCGAATGTAAAATGCAGGCAAAATGGTACAGATTACTAAATGAAGCAATGGTTTCGATTAAGATTCCAGATGGTTTTTCGTTGGATTTCCTAGGTACCAAAAAGTTGGCGCCCGTGGGACACGCTCCGAACGATAAGGTACGTAAATGGGAAAGGTTCAACACTGTTGAAAAAAGCTACTTGCCATGCGAAAAACTCATCAATAATTCAATCCACAGCAAATTTCTGAATATTTGGCTGTCAAGAAAAACAGGCATTGGAACCAATATGAAGATCTGAAAATTGAGCAATAGCCTACACAGTGCAACAAAAACAACTAGGCCATTTTGCCATTACGGCGAAGAAAAGGACAAGAATGATAAAGGATATAAATATCCAATTCAATCCACAGCCAATTACTGAATATTTGGCTGTCAAGAAAAACAGGCATCGGAACCAATATGCAGATAGCAACGAAAACAACTAGGCCATTTTGCCRTTACAGCAAAGAAAAGGATGAGAATGACAAAGGAAAGGATMTAAATATCCAAATCTTCACATTTACTCAMAGAATTGTGTCAGAATGATTGTAATTGTCATGACCGAATGATGCCATTATCATCTGCAATCCGCCRTATCCGTCGAAACTTAATCTTGAGTCTGTCTTTCTACCCAGCTTCTCAGAAAAGAGGTGATGTAAAGAAAAAYTCGGATCAAACCATTGTTGTGGCTCGACCAAGTCATGACTGACGAGATCATGAAATGAATATCCATARAAGGACAAAACTAACTACTATACTTCAAATTCGCCCATGATACGATCATTTCTGACTTTTTCTCTCGATTGAAAGCACAGTACGGAAAATAATGCTCTAAGGATGACATCAYCGTAATGAATGCAGTTGTTTTATTTCTATACTTTGTACCACTTCCCATTGACTCGGTCACAGAATGAGTTATCGTTAATGTTTTGTCGACAAACTGTTGTAGATGTAAACTAGAAATCTGTTGCATTGCATAACAGATGGTCCCAAAACGAGATATCTAACTCAACAGTTGCAGCTGCTCTTGCTGCKGCCATGATTGCTTGCCTCTCATCAAATTGGTCATCCTCTCGAGCATCCATTGACTGCTGGCGAGGAACAAAAGTGTGACCTTGAGCTCTGTCGAGGTTAACAGCTTTTCTTGTCTTAGAAGTCACGAATTCCATCGTCTCGGGTYCACGTGATGACCCGTACCATTCGTGATGCGATCGAGCACGAGGTCGATCGGGAACATATTTGGTTTCATCTTCATCCTTAGAATTCAAGAATGACAAAATACCTCTCTCTCCAATACCGGGAATGATATCATCCGCTTCCAAACCAGGAAGTACTTCAACGGAGGAAGAACTTCTCTTTATATCGTGTGATGTATTGCGGTCATCGTATTGAACATGATTTGAGCTACTAACGGAATTTCCAGAGTGCCGAATCTCACGTTGCTTTGCGATGACCTTACGAAGTGCATCCCTGGTTTCCTTTTGCTTGGCTATGGTTTGAGAATAAGCATTGACTGAGGATGCAGATTTCGGCTTGGCCTTRACGGAAGTTTCAATTATCTTCTGAGCAGTATCTCCCGAGACGCAATCGTAGGTTTTGTTGAGATTTTCCATCATTCCATCGAGGGCACTGAACAGAAAGTTAGCGTCTTCTTCATCGTCAGCTTTCTTCTTCCGCAAGAGTTKTTGATTGGCTTCTTTCTTGATTCGTGCCATGGTCTTYGCGTTGCTTTCAAAAATATCTCTCGTGGTCCTTCTAGACGARGTCTGCGTTGTCGTATRCGACAAACGCTCGGAAGCCGTCAGAGTTTCAAAGGCACGTTCTACCCATGTCTTCTTCTCCTCACCAGGGAAAAGGTTGAACGATCGCTCCGAAATATCCCTAATAAGTTCCTCAACTTGATCAAGGGCGCTATGGAAATCAAGGTAGAGTTTTATGTCACTTCCATATCKGGACCTTTGGCATGCCATCGGCAACACTTTTGGAAGGTGCCAATAGAATTCTGCATACTGTTGGTCGTCCACTTCTACCACTTCCAAAATTTCGCGTCCGAGAAGCCGAGCAACCCTTATTTTCTGGGGTTCGTTCATYTCGCGCATGATTGCAACGGCAAACTGGGCCTTCAACACTGTGTCCAATTCATTGAAAAGATGCGCATGAAGTTCTCTATAACCAGARTAGAGAAGAGCCGGCCACCATTGATCTCTGTATGGAACCCAAACGAGTCTCTCCAGAAGTGTAACTTCCGCAGAGACCGTCTCGTCTTCTGGGATGCCCCATTTTTGCATGYTTACCGATGCATCTGATGCCATCGTTCTTTCTTTCTTCACTTAATTTCAATAAAGCAAAATCGAGAAACAATTTCAATTTTTTTGATGCCTGTTTGCTGCGAAACCAAATATGTGTATGTTAATCGATAACRATGGGATTMRCATTCGTCAAAGCAGTGCAGCTATTGAATATTGGTACGCTTCGATATCAGATATCAGTTGAAAACGAAAAGTAGGAGTCTAAATAAATAATGAGGGGAAAATGAGGCCATTGTGTGGTTGATTTCGTACAGCGAACAAGAGCGCGCCAGCAAAAAATTATACCATGGTCTGTGCGTTCAACGGTACGTTAAGTCAAAAGTACGTACGTACCCGTACATATTCAACGCAACATGATGACACTTAGTGTCCACGTTACAATTGCATTCGGTGCACTACAGTCGTATCTTAGTAAGTACTTCTACTTTTTTAGCCTATGCTAAAACTGAAGTGGAACGCACTGTTATTGCAGTATGGTACGATCTGTACATCAATAGGTCAGATGTTAGATACCGGTACTCAAAGTCAACAAACAACAAACGTCTGAAAACTGAAAACGCGCAAAATTGTTCGTAGTGGAAGTACCGTATCTTACGGTACGTACAATGATGATCTTTGAACTGGTAGGAATTAGAGGGCTATTTCAGCAAGTGCAGTAAAAAGCAGCATTACAATTGCACTTTCACCTCTCCGTTTCCCCTCTTCCCCCCTTTCATGCAACAAAACTGAGTCCCGTAATTTTTTTCCCTCACGGGCTGCTTACTACCGGAGGAGAACCTCGAGCGTTGATTACCGTATTTTTAGTACGGTAAATTACCTACTACTACGAGGGCCACAAACTCCTGTTGGTCGTGCTTCCCCCCCYCTCGCAGCATGAGCACGTCCATGGTCTACCTCCTCTTGCCCATGCTGCAAGCAGTAATGATAGCACCTGCACTGTAATACTCCCTCACCGGTCAAGGATGCCGTCGCCACCAACAACCAAACCTGTCCTTCTCGAAAGGCTATTGGGCACATCGAACTATAACGTCCTTCTTGCCGTGTCTGGCAACATCATATCGTGGTTTGTAGCAACACTCGTGCCATCAAGACTTCCGTATCTCCTGCCATTTATTCCCGAAGAACAAGCAAGCGACGAGAATGACGGTSCCAAAGCGAGCGACCTAGGGGGCGAGAAAACCGATCGCAGAACGAGGTGCGTCGCGATTGGACGCCCCGGTGGCATGGAACAGTTGAGAATTATACGTCTCAAGGAAGGACACGCCACGCGKGGTTACAACGTGGAGATCCCCGGATGTTCCAGCGGTTCTCCGTTTGTCGATCTTTCGATCCTCGACAGGRAGGAAACAAAGGAGGGAGACCCATCCACTGAAGAAGGAGACCAACCTTCCTTGGTAGTGCTTCGAATCTGTGCCTTCTCTATCAACTATGCCGATTGCTGCATCCGGTGGGGCCTCTACGAAAGCGCCAACCGCTTTGTCGGATATCCGATCGTACCGGGATTCGATGTTGCCGGGGTCGTTGAAAAAGTGATTTCGTCGGATGCAGCGACAGAAACATCGTCGTCACCTCCGCAATTGAAGGTAGGGGACAGGGTCTACGGTGCTACCTTTTTCGGTTCCTATTCGACACGGTGCTTGATCCCCGCAAACCAACTGCGCAAAATTCCCGAGGGATTRTCCTTTGCCGAAGCAGCGGCGCTACCGGCTGTCTCATTGACGGCGCTGTACGCACTCCACCTCGGMGGAAGGTTTCCCTTTGCGACAAACGTCCRGCACGAGACGAACCTGCCAACACCACGGCCGAGCAGCGAAATAACGGTCATCGCACCGAGCAATCGATCCATATTGATCCATTCTGCGGCGGGCGGGGTAGGAAGCATGATGGTGCAAATGGCCAAGCTGTTGGGTTTGTCACCGGTGGTTGGTGTGGTGGGCCGGACCGCCAAGGTCGAAGAGGCCAAGGCTCTGGGCTGCGACGTTGTCATCGACAAGCAGTCGCTGCGAGAGGCAGCAGCGGAGGGATCGGCAAARGCACYGGGCACAATGTGGGAATCGATTCGAGCCGCCGGTCCCCCTGATGGCTACTCGATYATTGCAGATCCAAATGGCGTCGCAACCCTTCAAGACTCGTTCGACCACCTCTGTCCGACGGGGCGGTTGATCGTCTTTGGATTTCATTCGAACCTGCCCATGGGYCGGGACTCGCTGAACCCGATGGAATGGGTGCGAATGGTCTTTAGAGCGTCGAAGATGCCGGCCTTTGATCCGATGGAATTGGTCACGTCGAACAAGTCAGTTCTCGGATTCAACCTGTCGTTTTTCGCAAGCGAGACAGAYATGCTCAATCCCATGTATGACCAAATCGAGCGATGGCTGTCGTTGCCGAAGCAAGAACCACAGGGACAGAAAAGCACAAYCGATACTGCTGCCACGGGGAACGAACCGAAACAAGGGTTGCGACTGCGGTGTCCACGCGTCACGGAAATGCCGATGGAACGAATCGGCGAAGCCCACCAATTGATCCAAAGCGGGACGACGGTTGGAAAGCTGGTCATGATTGCTACCAACGATGACGACGACGATGTATGAACATAGCTACGGTAACTGTTCATGGGTTTCAGTTTCAAAAACAAACCTACTTTTTTTACTACAGAAATCTGCAACGCCATAATTATTTAGAAGAATGCCGTCTTGCATCGGTCTGCGTTAGAAGAATTCGCATCTCTGTCAAATGAACACAATGAGGATGTTATTTTCTCTAATTGACGATACACATTTAGAACCAAAACGAAATATCATCGTGCCATTAGTGCACTTCAGAAACCAAAGAAACCTTGTGTTCTCAAGCATAACTTTCTTCAACAATATTATTTTTTTCCATTAGTTACATACCCGCTCTGTACTGCACTGTATTTCACTGGAATGAAATGGAACTGATAACAGGAGTGAAACATTTTTGTTTTACGAACAGAAGCATGATGGTTCCGATTTCCACACGGAATAATATGGGATCATCACACATTCCATGGTTTGCTTTCTAGTCAAAGGTCTACTGCTTGAATTTCTGAAGTTCTGCTGTACGTTCAAGAGGGTGCCAGTATTTATTAATCAGAAACGAAACTGTACGAAGGCAACGTGTCAGAAGTATTATTTTCTTTCGTGATCGCGATGTCACATATATTTTTTGAAAAGATTCTTTTTCAACACAGMGACTARACAATTGCCTTTCCATGGATCAATTAGCTTTACGGTTTGATSATCGACTTCACACGAGCTACTTCTAGCATTTCGATAGTTCTGGTCGTAGGTTCCTCACGATAGTACGGCACGACACAGTTACGTGCTACTGCACAAAGTGCGCAATTTGTTTTTCTGATCGTGATGATGTCAACTTTGATTGAGAAACCATACAACGATTCAAAAATTTAATAACATGAATAACTCATGAACAAAGGACCGTCAATACTCGTAACTGCCGAAGGAATCTCTTAAGAAACTTCGTGACACTATCAAGATCTCATGTCGGCATTCTTGAGTAGGTTCCAAGAACATCGAACGAAGTTTGGAAAAGTCTCGCCAAACCCACTTTGCATCATTTCTTCCTTGGTCTCTTTCGAACTTTGCATCATTCGTGCCGATCTCCTTTTCGTCCTTTCTGCCCAAGGGCAATTGTCGATTCGCTGTCACACCCAGAACTGTTTCCATCGTCACCAAAGTCGGCTAMGTTATGACAACGCACTGGAATGGAAGAACCAATTTTCATTCGCCAAGTTGTTTTGGAGATCGCTCCTAATKCAATACAWTGTAGTCTGTCCATCATACGTGATAAATATGATTACMACGAATAGTATTCGTMATCCACTTCGTCTTCGTTTTCCAGCTAGACGATGAGTTCTATTCTTTACGTATGACGGTCAGGGATTACTTGACAGAAATCTGTGCGGTGCTGCCAGGCATGTAGGACTGAAAATGCAAAGTATGAATTCTTGTGAAATAGTTCCGGCAATTTTGCAGCCTGTCGCTGGTCGTTAACTTACCGCTTGGTTGGTTTGTGTTGCACTTCAAAGATCGRTTTAATGCTTTCACTTACGGTTCCGTGAACCACATAAGAGGTCGATTTGTCACGTACCGGTAGCAATCACAGATTGCTCTTGTGAAGTAGACGAATATTACGTACCGCTACGTACTGAAAATACGYGTAATAAATCGACACGGCACCAACCTCTGTTCGACCTTCCGAGTGCAGCACGAGTTACGTCGTCGTGCTMACAACCAAACCAACCCACGGCTGTCTGTCACAATTCTTATTTTRCAACGCCAAGAACTGAGAAGATGATACTTGACGTTGACGACAGCAGCATCACATCTACTATCAGTAGAAGTGGGCCGGTGGAATTCGCCGACACCAGCACGAGGAGCGAACGCAGCGGACGGCACGTTTCCTTCAACACCATGGCCGAGGTCTGTCTCCTGGAACMTCCACCGTCGAACGACGAGGAGAGCACGGGCAYGGATTCGTCGGAATTGTGGTGGACGTCCAACGATTACGAAAACAACAAACGGAAGCACAAGTCATTGGCGAGGCGTATGTTGTCTTCGTCTCTCTCCGCTCTGCCCGACCCGAACGATGTCGACGAAGACGCCGATGGCTCGTACCGCGGACTAGAACGGCTTCTTGACGGAGGATACTGCAAGGCCCGCATGCGTCGCGTCATTCGTGTCGTTCGCGGGGAACAGGCGAGGCACTTTCTAGACGGCGTAGAGGGAGAGGCCTCGGACCTCGCTATTGCCCAGGTGTACGGTGCCCTGTGCGTAAAGAGCGTGAACCAGGCCAAGCGCCTGGGCCGATTCGATGCGATGGAGGCCAGGAAAGCCCTCGAGGACAACTGGGAGGACGACGATGCCACCGCATCGACGAGCACGAGTGCTTCAGTCGAAGATTCCTCGGCTTCCTTGCTGCTGGAGGAGTCGGAGGAATCACCCGCGATTGACTGCGATCGCGGCCAAGTAGAAGAACCCATCAACAACGAGAACGACAATGCTACTCCAATTGTAGCAGTCAACAGTAAAACAAAGGGCAAACTGTGGTCAGGACGCCTATCACTTCGAACGAATTACAAATTTTCCATGTCAAATGTAATGAATCGACGCCCCCATGCTTGGATATAACGACGCAGTGCAGTGCAACGCAATACAATACAATACATTTCTATATACAGCATCACCGGTATTGATCGGTGAAGTACGCTACGAGCTAGCTAGCAGCGCATAAAAAGACCTATTAACAATTTTGATAACATTTTGAAACTTTCACTTCTAGTTTGAGTCTTTTCCACTAACAACGACACATTAACACTTCTTTGGAATAGTAGTAGGTAGCAGAGACGATGTGCTCATATCAACATGCAAGATAGCCACTAGTCAACAATTTTTCACAAGAGAAGACGACCAAACACGTAKCGAAGTATTGCAAAAMGCAATAAGTAGCCATTCAAGTGGAAGAAAAGTACATTGGGGCACAAAGCTCATCAGAAGATAGTGAATCGACTAGTTTCACTAAGCTGTGTGCATCAATATCATTCGTTCCTTTTATAGTTATTCGCAGCAGTCCTTATCATATTCTATGCTCCAATATTTGTACCGAACCTCTCAATCGAATTTTGATATCCATTTTTGCCGAAATGCCAATTCCATTGCCAGGGATGCTGCCCCGAATAACGCCGCCGATTCGATTCCACCCCATGCCGCCTGTTCAATCATGTTCCAATCGAAATATCCAAGGGGAGCTCCGCCTTTTTTTGCAAGACGAGGCCAACACCATACAATCATTGTTTTGAGCGCGTGCGAAGAAAGAGAAACAAGAAACTACGCGTGAGACGGGAAGGTTGGCCATTGAATGAATCTAGAAGCATCACACTGGAAGCACACCGGACCTACATCTCAGTGGGATGGATTGGCACGTGTCCGTCACGTGAATGTTCGATAGGGTTCGTACCACAACGAATGCCCCTACGACGCCCTGGTTCAGCATGGGATTGTTGTCGTTTGCTCGGACGGCGTACCGGTATACAATGGCAAAAAGCGCTGCCTGAAGAGACGACATGTCGGTCACAAACTCCCACTGGGCCGTGCTGCTCGGAGAGGCGAACAAAACATAGTGCAAATAGGCTACCGGTGTGACTGCGAATCCGCCCGACAGGGCTCCCAGAACGACCGATTTCAGGGACTCGATTCTTTGAGCCATGTCGAACCTGTTGATGTCGCTGGTTGTGCCATCGCTGTCGCTGCCGGCATCGCCGCCATCCTYTTCTGCTGTGTCCCGGCCGAACAAGTTCAGTCCTCCCGTGCTACGACACAAKGACAGATCGCCGCTATTGGCATCCCCAGAAAGGATTGTCTTTCGACCGCCATGTTGGACGGCAATCGCCAACGGGGTGCCTCCCGTCGAAAAGGCATCGGCGAAACCAAACGATGCAGCAGAAGGATCGGAAAGGTGGAGAGCGGCGCCGAGGAGAAAGCTCGCACAGAACAGCAACGGAGAGCGKGCCGTTGCGGTCCATCGTCGTTGCCGACTGCRGGCGCTGGCGCTGGTGAATGGCGTCGTTGTTGTGTGCATAGTTCCGTTTTTGGTTGCGATAGGGGTTTGCGGAGCGGCGTTGCGGGATGGACAGTGCCCGTGATCAATTGGTCRGTATTTCAGAAACGATTTTGCCGTACGGTACATCAGTTAAGTACGTACGAGTATTTATGTGATGAGTACAAGAGTACGTTCGGTAGTACTCGTACTTCACGCTAGGAAAAGAAAAATAAAAAATTACATCACTACTAGTACAATGTGCAGAATTATGCTGTTTTTGAAGTTCTGCAGTATTTCCGACACAGCTAATCTTATTCTTATCAATTACAGTAGTTGTGAATGCTATTATTTTCCTATTGATTATCATGTCATAAAAAGCGACAAGGAATTCATGCCAAACCATTGTTACCATTAGCGTACACACACCGATGCAATTCAATGGGTTCTCTCGATGCCCCAATCTATTTTTATTTTATATAGAATAAAAATATCGMATTCAGACTCAGAAGACTGATCGCTTGGAACCGGTTTCTTCTTCACCTGCACTTGGAACCGAGCGCGGCCGTTTCWGACTTGAATTTGCGTTGTTCTTTGATCGATTGCCTGTTTTATTGGCGTCTTTCGCTTTCCCCTTGGCACTGATTCTCAGATTGCGGAAATCGTGGGCAACCTTGTCTCTCGCTTTCTCAAGCGACACCTGAACCCACAAACCATTTCCCACCTCACTGTCACGAATTATGAACCGACTCCCACCTTCCATCATTTTCTTCACGAGGACCTGGGATAGGACAGTCTTTTGGAATTTGTCACCAGCTTCATAGTCCGCCTGATGTTCCGCCAACAGCTTGTTCAATCTTTGGTTGCCCGGCTTTTTCTTRTTGTGCCGGCCACGACCCATYATAACATCGAAAGGACCGGGAACCAAAATATACCCATTCGTTTCGTTTCCTCCCTGTCTTAGAGCATCCGCTGCAGAATATGTGACACTGGGTTGAATCTGTTCGATTCCGGTCAATATGGGCTCGTCCGTTTGGCCAAATTGACCCCCGCCATTTATAGTGACAAGATTAGTTTCGCAGCTGAATGAATGAGTGTGAAGTGGTACCATACGGCCGTTGCTCGTTGCAGAGTTCGGATTCGTATTGGTACCCAAAATATAATTGTTTTCGCGGTCACCTTCCGGAAGACATCCCATACTCGATACTAGCRGATCTAGATTCGTTTCTGGCAATCCCGAAATGTCCCACAATCCGTCTTCCAAAATTGGCAAAGGCGGCTCTTTTTGATATGGTTGCCCCCTGCTGTTTGCCATCTGCTGCTGGTTGAAAACGTTATTGTTGCTACTGGATGCCATTGCTTGATYTCTTTGTCGTTGATGTTGATGCTCTACTTGTRATTGATGAATATCCTCGACCGGTAATTGTCTTCTAAGCACTCGATCGMCGGCATCCTCTTTTTCAATCGCATTCAAAAAAGAGTGATGAAACCTTAAATCTACTTCCCCAGAGTTGTTAATGGGAATGGCTTCCCTTGGAATTCCATAGGTCAAAAGGTTATAGACACACTCCACAATAGTTCCATGATGCAGTTTGAATCGGATGGCAGACCATCTTGTGGAAAACTTCACTAYTCCCTCCAGAAAAGSGTTAATTTCTACRCCGTCGTGACAAAYATGGCGCGCAATCCCTCGAATAGGGAATCCATGGAAAGACTTCAAAATTCTTTGCAGACGATTTTTATCGAAAGTATTTTGCCCATGGYYGATGTACACKTGAYTGGTTCCATTRATCTGAATTGTTTCATCTCGGGCCATGATCGTCGTCATGTAAATAAGAACTCGAAGCTGCGAAAACACGAGAGAAAAAAGCCTGAATTAGAAAAAGAGGAAAGGCCTCTATTTATCATAGCACGAAGGGAAACAAAAATATATATCGAAGCCCTCAGCTCGTAATGTGTCTGGACATCRTCAGAATTAGAGCGAAAAATTAAAACTCACGAAGGTTTTGGGGGTGACTTTGCATTGCTCTTTTCCCATAAAGATCAATATTGCACGACCATASGCATCTTGTTCTTCCGAGAGTTGTAGAAATCCGAGACGCCTCCACAGATCGAGGTCCGTTTCMCCCAGATCTTGTAGGGTAAGTTCTCTTGCCAAAGAATCAGCGCCAAAATACTCCAGCTTGAGATCAAGGTACTTCGCCATTCGAACSACGGTGGATTCCGGATCCCAATTTGAAGCCCGCAAAAATTTGAGTCGTTGTGATTGAATGTATAGAGCGCCGGAATTTCCATTTCCGTAGTATTTGTTGCTGCCATATCGATTCCTCTCGGAAGGAACATCGATGTGCATGACCAATCGCAAGGACGAGAACTGCTCTTCGTTTCCAGMAGATGCCTTCGCAATGTAATTATCCACTTCCTTTATCTGCTCTTGGACTTGATTGAGATCGTGTTCGGGAGGCTTCAATCGAAATCCGTACATGTCACTCTGAGCGTTTTCACGTTCTGTCACGGAAAGATTGCGTAATTTTTGGGTCAAAGATGAAACCATGTCGTCGCTGGAGTCTTGCGCATGGTCGGCGCCTGTGTCATTGYTGTTGCTATTTTGGCCAAAGGAAAAGAAGCTTTGGTAATASTTCTTGCTCATTTTGTTAATTTTYTGTTGCATTTGATTWGCGACAACTTCGTCTAAGAGATCGGATTGAATCGCAATACCAGCACAAGCAACATTMTTTGGTAGAAGATTGGTAGCAAGGWTGCTACAATTTCCGCTACCATGGGTGTTGCCATCGAAATTAATGTTGATGTTCGCATYGCTGCTGCSAGTGTTGCTGATGCGGCCGTTTAAGAAACTTTCATTGCCAGCTACATCTTTGCGGCTAGAGTCACGAAACATCAGATCATTTATCATTGCCTGAAAAGAGTGGTAATTGTTATGTTTTTTATACAAAATAGACTGCTCAAGACCGCAACCAGTTGGTTTTCATTCCGTGCAGTGAAGGAAAAATTTTGAAGCTGGCTATGGGGGRTTTTGAGGTTAAAGTGGTGGCACACAGAGATTATCTACCATGCTGGTACTCGTAACCGATACCAGAATGATTTTCGTACTGTATTGTAGAGTTTGGAATGAGAATGAGACTGGGAGCAAAAATTGCGACTACCAAGTAAGCCCTGAAGCAAGAAACTGGAATCGTAACATTCCTTTCGAAGCCACGTCTTGTTGTTAAATGAAAGAAAGGAAATTTTCATTCAATTAGCGCAATATTAGTACTTCCCTTTACATACATGTTTGAATTTTGGAACATACAATACAACTTCATTATTTATCACCGAACTTGTTCTTATGAAAGAATCGATATTATTTTTTATCATGATTATTATAATACCCAGAATGCATTTTCGAGTGCCACAAGATTTTTTTTCTTATGCAAACCGCCAAATGGTATTCGAAGGTTCATGCGCCAAGAATACACGGTGGCAGGGATTGGTTGAGATATGATCTTTACTACCGGTAATAAATAAGAAGACTAGAGATTCATACAAATTGTTGAGAGAGCGATGCCCCCGTTGTAAGCCTCAGAAATTGGTTTAAACTGTAAAGAAACCCCTAAAGCAACCCTATTAAAAAATGATCATAACTTGCTGTAAATTCAACACTCCGCCAATCTCGATGCACGTTACCCAGTGCGCCAAGCTACAGAGCCATTTGGTTTTTAGTTTTACCGCAGCGGCGTTAAGTAAGTCATTTTATGTCTGAACGAAATAGAGCACTAAATATTGGAAAGTAATAAATAATGCTACCTCATGACCTAATTTCAAATGTACGAGTACTTAAACAACCAAAGAGCGATGACTGATAAGTAATATTATTTTTAAATATGCTTCACATACCATACCGTAGGTCCTCCTTTTGTTCTCGGGAAGCATCAATAGAGGAGATTTTTTGAAAATAGTTCCGCCTAAACAGCACTTAAAATAGGAAAAAAAAACAAGATTTTTTTTTGTTTCAGTTTGTTTTAAACAAAGAAAACATTGCTGGCTGAGCATTCTTCTAATTGGTGATTCTCAATGTTTACTCTAAATGTACTAGATTAGACCAAAAATCTGGCAAACTGCTGCTGGTGGTTCTTCTTCAAGAACAAGAACAAGAAGAACAAGAAGAACAAGAAGAACAAGAAGAACAAGAACAAGAACAAGAACAAGAACAAGAACAAGAACAAGAACAAGAACAAGCAAGCAGATGATTCTTATTTCTTGCTTCTTCGTCTTCTTCTTGTTGTTGTTATGATGTCTCGCACCAACAACAAAAGGAAGTGATCGCAACCTATTGCGTCTTTTTAGAATATAACCTTAATTTTTTGTTGTAGTAGAAATTCTTATAGTAGGTTGCCCTTTGTAACCAGCAAGGACCAGTTGCGATGGATTCTGATTGGTTCTGCTGAACACCAATGTGGACCCAGCACCGCCAGATGATGGAGCATTCCAAATTTTTCAACTCTGGCAAGACCATTTCAAACTTGACCATTCTGAGAAAAGTGTGTTGTTGTAGCAGCTTCTATCATTTCCACTCTAGCAAATTGCTACAGCCAAATTGCTAGTAGTACAGGATGATGGAGGAAGCATCAGCAACAATTCTGTAATTACAAATTTCCGTTCTTGAAAGCCACTTCTCCCCTCCTGCTGGTCTTCACTTAATTTCTCTGAAACAGCAGGTTCCCAGTGTGGTTGGCCTCCTAACACCATGGGGGGGCCTCTGGCTTTTTCCTYCTGCTGTTCTTCTCTGATTTTCTGGTGAAACAACTAGTACTAGTATATTAGTAGTAGTACAAACCACCATTTCACAAAAACTGTCTGTTAGTAGGTTCGATTGCAACCCTGTGTATATACATTTTGTGTAACCACTTAACATGAGGAAGTTATGATTCTCAAGCTTACTGAGGACCCCTTTTTTTGTGATTATTTTTGCAACACAATGCACTTATTCTACTGCATTTACTGATTCTACTATACTTGCTTACTACTAATCTCTGCTTAATATATCTATTTGGGGGTGGTGGTGGTGATACACAACCTCATCAGCTACAATGACAGAAACAACCAACCATGACTCATAGAATCAAAATCCTAGATTCATACATGTAAGCAGTAATATTCTCAAATAGCCAACAATTATTCCACTACCCTATAGTTTAAGAAAGTGTATGGAACAGCACACACACCCATATCACTACCTCACAATTCTTGAATTATGTACTAGTACAAACAGTGTTACTATTAGTATTATTGATGAATGTTTTCTATGAGTGCTTTAATGAAATACTATACTACTTTCTCCTCCTCTTCCTCCTCCTCCTCCTCCTCCTCCTCCTCCAACTACAACTCCAACTACAACAACAAAAATGTTCCCAATGTCTCGCACATTCCCACTATCCCCACTGTCCCCATGATTGCATTGTTTTGGACACTGTTGATGGGGTCATCAGGTAGGTCCACAAACCTTTTGCAAATCTAAACTTCTTTGATCATGGTGAGGTCAACCTTAGGTTCTGTGTTGAACTGTTCCCTCCTCATCTG